CCCCCCCCCCCCACTTTTTCAACCCACCATAAAAAAAAGCAAAACAAATCTACCAACAAACAAACAGAACCACCACTTAATGACCTGGAAGCATTTTCATATATGCGCCCCCCCCCCCTTCCATCCCAGAACCATTTTTTTTTAAAATCTGCCCCTGACCATCATTATCTCTAAGCTTAATCCTTGGGTACGCCTAAAAAAAAATAAAAAATACACGTACAATTGATGTGGGCCCCCGATTCAACTTTTGGATTATTTGTTTTTCATGATTTAATGTCCATTTGACATTGTGTCCCCCAAAACTCCAGACAAGATGCTCAAACGTACAAGACGTGTTCACTTTGCCGATGAGAACCTGTACTATGTAAAACTGGTTTGTTTCGCGTTAACGGCGAGAATTATCTTCTTCTTTTTTTTAATAATTTTAAAAAAAAAATTATTTCGGTGTATTTTTACAAATTTTCTCGACCGATTGTCTTAAGCACTTCAACTATTTGTTGACATCTGAGGAAGTTGCCGCTGTTTTGTGTTCCTTGGATTATTTCATTCGTTAATTTTATTTCCAATCGTTTACGTTTCCTGTTAATCTCACACGCATTTTCTTTGGCTTCGTGGAATCATGGAAATGTGTCTACCATTTCCTGCCAACTCAATAGCTTTACAAGCTAAGACGTCTAACTGTTTTTTGTTTTTGTTTTTTTTGTTGTTGTTTTTTTTGCTGTCGAAGGCTTCTTTTCCGAAACGTCCACTTTTTTAAAAAAAATAATTGGTTTGTCATTCTTCAGTTTTTGCACTGCTACACATGTTTATATTTCTTACTGCTTCAACCCGACCGAAGCCCTCCCCGTGTTTCTCTTGTGTTTCCAAGATCTCATTGAACCAGAGAGTAGTTCCAGCGTCGAGGATTCTGATAAAAATGTACAGAATTGTTGGAATTCACTTACTGTGAACGGATGACACTCTGTGGTCCACGGGCGGGGCAAGCACTATCTCAGGCCGGCCAACCAAATGACCTGGGTCATAAGGCAATATAGAGACCGACCGAATTTCGGCTTCGGTTTCGGCGCCGAAAGTGGCCATTTTATCACTTTCGGCCAAGTTTCGGTTTCGGCCGAAACTGAAAAGTTAAATTTCGGCTTAATTTCGGTTTCGGCCGAAAGAGAAAAGTTAACTTTCGGTTTTTCTTCGGTTTCGGCCGAAATTGAATTAGACTTTAAGAACAAAACAAATGACCTTTAATAGTAAACTAAATGATTTATAAGAATAAACTAAGCGATCTTTAACAGAAAATTAAATGTTCTTTAGGAACAAACTAAAATATCTTTAAGAACAAACTAATCTATCTTTATGAAAAAACTAAGCGATCTTTACAACAAACTAAGCGATCTTTAACAACAAACTAAGCGATCTTTATGAACAAACTAAAAGATCTTCAACAACAAACTAAGCGATCTTTAAGAACAAACTAAACGATCTTTAACAACAAACTAAGCGATCTTTAATAACAAACTAAACGATTCTTAACAACAAACTAAACAATCTTTAACAACAAACTAAACAATCTTTAACAACAAACTAAGCGATCTTTAAGAACAACCAAAACGATCTTTAACAACAAACTAAGCGATCTTTAACAACAAACTAAACGATCTTTAACAACAAACTAAACGATCTTTAAAAAAAAATTAAGCGATCTTTTAGAACCAAATTTTTTAGAGACCCTGTATAAAAAAATAATATTTTGCATTAATTTCCCCTCCCGCCCCCCCTCCAATTTTAGCCAAATTTTCTCCTACCGTACTAATTTTTAAAAAAAATTGTAAAGCAATTTAAATTACTTTTATATTAAAATGGTAAAATCCAAAGTATTCATTAGATCAAGGGTCTCAAACTCAAATCATGGGGGGAGGGGGGCACAGGAGGTAGTGTCTGAATGAGAGTGGGCCGCATCAAGTAATCCACAAAAAAGCGATTACAACTGTTGCAATCTGCTCAAACTTTATAAATAACAATAAAATCATTAAGGGTTCTCAAGAACTACTCACTGTTGCCAGAGACCTGGCATACAAAAATATATAGAAACATTTTTTTAAAAAAAATCAGAATTAGACTAGTCGGTGAGATTCGACTGAAACCGTCGCGGAGAGTCACGTTATAGATATGAGAATGGGGGAAACGCGCCGGCGCATTTACACTAAACTTTTTTGTCATGTAGCGGGCCGCAAAATATCGTCTTGCGGGTCACAAATGGCTCGCGGGCCGCGAGTTTGAGACCCCTATATTAGATGTTTATGTATTAATATTCACGATATCTAATTTTTTATAAAAAGAATGTAAATATTTATAATTTCCCACATCATTTTCGATGTATGCAGAATGTATGCGGGAACGAATTTAAAAATATCTTAATATTCCAGTTTCGGCTTCTGTTTCGGCCAAAATTCATTTTTAACTTTCGGCCTTTTTTCGGTTTCGGCCGAAAGTAATTTTTAAACTTTCGGCATATTTTCGTCTTAGGCCGAAATCAGAAAATCACATTCGGTCTGTCTCTAAGGCAATATCTGAAGGACTATATGACCAAATGACCTGGGTCTTAGGGCAATATCTGAAGGACTTTATTTTAGGCACCATATTGGGGGAATAGCTTATACGGCACCATCTAACTTGCCTGATTATGATGCGCTATCTGGTTGGCCTAGCTTATAGAGCACCCTCTGGCTCGTGGTTTGCGGCTTTTAGAGCTTCCGGAATCATCCGAACCGTATAGCCATGATTAATTTACCATCTGACATTATAGTTATATTTGTTGACTGACGTTCTGTCCATATCTGTATGTCTGACATTCTATCCGCAGCTGCCGGAGGTCAAGGACGCCAAGTTGAGTCAGATCCTTACCCAGCAACGCAAGTACCACCACCTGCAGAAGAGTGAGTGCCAGGCCAGTCCGGTCTCTAGCCCTCGGACACAGAACTCGTCATTTTTGTCCCATGACGCCCACGTGACAGGTCAGTTGGCAACAACATGTGTACTTTAGTAATGTAGTCAACTGCCGGCCAAGTGGAGAAGTAGGAAGCAAGGGAGGGGGTGGGTGTTTGAAAAAAACGTTCAAAGTAAATCACTATAGAAATAAACGATGTAAAAGTACAATATAAAGAATACTCTCAGCCGACTTCCGCCTTTCTTTCCTACGGCAGTGTATAAAACATTGAATGCTGCTAATTTCAATTTACCTCTTGTGGACAACCCCCAACCACCTTATTCGGACTGGGTCAATGACACGGCCCAGTGCTGTAATGAATGTTTTAATTTCAAGGGAGGAGATATGATCCTAGTTGCTTCTAAAGAATTATAAACGGAGCTACAAAACAACCTGAAAATTTCCCAGGCGGCCATTTTACCTCGTTTTTTATCATTCAATTAGAGCAGCATTCGTTCAGGAGACATAGAGTTGTCATGTTTCTCGTGTACTATTAATAATGAAATGTTTGTTATCACTGACAGATGACACAGCCTCAGAGCTAGACTCTTCCGTGCAAACTGTGCACTCTGAACATTTGGAGAGGAGGCAAGTTTGGGCAGGTGAGTGCGTTTGTAGTATATTGACACTCAGCTGATGTAGTCATTACACGATGACCTGTATCTGATGTAGTTGTTACATGTCGACCTGGATAAAAACAAAAAAAAGTATACATTTTTATGGTATAGAAAGCCCAATTCACACCCCCCTCCCTCCACCTTAAAACTTTAGGTATAGAAAGCCCAATTCACACACCCCTCCCTCCACCTTAAAACTGTAGGTATAGAAAGCCCAATTCACACCCCCTCCCTCCACCTTAAAACTGTAGGTATAGAAAGCCCAATTCACACCCCCTCCCTCCACCTTAAAACTGTAGGTATAGAAAGCCCAATTCACACCCCCTCCCTCCACCTTAAAACTGTAGGTATAGAAAGCCCAATTCACACCCCCCCCCTCCTCCTATGTATAAACACAAATTTAAAAGAAAACAATATAAAAATAACTATAGACTATAGCCTCAAATCTCTGTATTGATTTTGACTAAGCAAATTTCCTGCTTTTATTTGTGTCTGTATGACACTAAGGCTCCAGCATTGGAGGATCTTTCATTAAGACGTCTCTTGCATTAATACACTACTCCAGGGGCTCCCAACCTGGGGTGGCGTTTCAGTGGGTGCATGATTTTCTCAAACAATTGGTAGGAAGAGTGAGACATCATCAATAATTCGGAAGAGTGAGACATCATCAATAATTCGGAAGAGTTGCAGGGTATAGCAAAGGTTGACAAACCCTGCACTACTCTGACACGGCTCTCAACGTGGAACCAGTTGCTTCCAAACTGCCATTGTGTCCATGCAAAAATTTGGTTTAAAAAGCAAAATAGACTCCATAATATGTGAGACCAAATTCATCTCCTCAGCCCCAGCTGATGCCCTGCCAGAGAGAAGTAGCCTTGACGACAGACAGCCAGTCCATGCTAATGACCTGAGACTTCAGGACATCTCCAATGGTAGGTGTCTTGAGAAATAAATCTGAAATCTCATGAGCCTGTGATGCATCATAAATTAAATGTTACGTGATGTGCCTCCTGGACTGATAGCAGCCAAAAGCTACCAACGTGCAACATGTGTATTATATCACTTAAGATTAGACCATTATTTCATGTGTCATGGAAAAGAACTAAAATTTCCAGCAAGACTAATGGCCATGAATTCCCAGAGTGAGCAAAATATCTCTCTTCTTTTAGCTAGGTATCCTGCTGCCGAAATTTCAAATCTGACCTACTTAATTGTAGTCAGGGTAACAGGAATCTATTGGACTTTGGTTTTTACTCTTGCGATATTTGTAGTTAAAATGTTAGAAATTACTCTCTGGTATTCTTACCTTTACATGGCGACCTATTTCATTTGACAGGAGACACTTAAGTAAAATGCCTGCTCCGTGTTCCTTAAACATTTCATTGTAACAGAACTGAGGTGAATTGGTGTAGGGTGGAAATTTTGTCCTCCATATGGAGGGGCAGAATTTTTCTGCCATGGGAGGGGTGGGGCAAAAATATTTGTACGCCTAAGGGGGGGGGGCACTAACTCTAGCTACGCCACTGCTGAGGGGTAATCACCCACAATGCAAATCTTTACAAATGATTGTTTAGGATTGTTTAGATTGTTTTATTCAGGAGTTACCGTGTCTTGAACAAACAAGAGTTTTGTTTGAATAGCTGTGTCAGAAACTTCATTAAGTAACAACAGCCTTGTAGCGTTTGCCTTTTTAAAAAAAAAATTTTTTTTCAATGATACACGTTGTCGTTGGTTCTTCTAATTTACATAAATCTTAGGGATTGAATCACATTAAAGATTTCTTCGAGCCACCTTTTTTTCCCCTCCAGCATTGCTCATTAGTGTCAGCGATAGCAACAACAAAAAACCGTTTGTGTTAAATTGGGGTCATGAGCTGCAGGTAAACTGGTCACAGGAATCACCCACGGCATAGATAAACCACAGAACCTGTAGAATAGATCAATGCCTTCAGCTTAGAGACAGGGTGTCATGCAGTGCGTGCGGCCGATCTTATGCAGGATTGAAACACTTTATCTCTTGTTAATGCCGTCAGGTTGGATAAGGTGTGTACACCCCCCACTCCCTCCACACGAACTCCACAACAAAGACCCTCCACCCCCACCCCCTCTGGACTTCATGACAAGAAAATTTCTTTTTAATGACAATGATTTTCTTTTGGTGCCATTTGTTGTCTGCGGTCCATTGATTGGTTTCTGGGATAAAGGCTTGGAGATTAAATGGGATCAAGGAGTTTTGTCTCCTGTGCAGAAATCATGGGATCTGTCATGTGATCTGTCTTCATGTGAGTCAAATATCAGCTATTTTAATCTCTCTGTATGGGGTGGATCATGAAGTGCAGGGACATTCCCCAAGGGCAGGGTAGATTCAGGAAGTACAGGGTAGATTCAGGAAGTGCTGAGGAGTAGCATCAATAACAAAACTCACCTGATGTTCTCATGTTTATTCCCAGAATGTGACCAAAGAAGCAGTGTGAGCCTTTTGGAGTCTGAATCCATTTACCTCCCCTTCGACATCCCAGCAAGCCCCGTTGCCATACGCAGGCCATTCACAGCCCCAGAGCAAGAAACAGGGCCATTTGTTAAGCCGCCGTCAGACCCAGCTCTTTACGCGTCTGACCAAAAAAGGCACCTGTCTCGACCATACACTGCCACAGACTCGAGGCATCCTACATTTACAAAATATGATTCCTTGGAGCAAAGACCCATTCGCCCCCTAAACCAGCATGTGGTAAAAGGCAACATCAAGCCGGCCTTTGAGGTGGCTAGGCCGCTCACATCCAGTTCCGAGCCATCTGTCAGCACGCACAAAGACACTTCAATTCCAACAGCCAGGAGCCAGGATTATGAATCCAGCAGTGAGCAGACAGCGAGCGAGTCGGAAGTCTTACCTCAAAAGCCTGACGACAATCACACCACTCAGCCCAAAATCATCAACACCATACAGCTTGTGTCCATTCACGCACCCAAAGATAAACTCAACCACATAAAAGCCATCGCTGGAAACAAGAGAGCCGGACATCCAACCAGCCGTGCAGGGAATCCGTCCGGCAAAAGTTTTGCAATGAAGACCGCCACTGCTGCCAGCATGGCCGCATCGGCCGTGTTGAGGAACCGGCTGCCAAAGACCAATCTGTCAACTGCAGGTGCTGTGAAAATGAATTCGCCCGAAGGGAGGGATCACTTGCAAGATTCAGTGGCAGCACGTCATGGGGCCAGAGACAGTAAACAGATCAAAGGGAGGCTGAACATGGAAAGAATGGAACTGGAGAAAGATGGGAGATCGCACCCAGGTGGAAGGGATGCTGGGTCTGTGTCTCAGCCGGCCAGTGATATCTTCACTTCAGATCCTCAACAGATTGGTAAGACGTTCTTTGGACTATCATGTTCTGAGTTTGAGAGATTATTTTAATTGTTGAAAATAGTGGCTGGTTGATCAAATCTTATAAAGCAAAGCTCATTTTAAGCTCATCAGTTCAATTCATAGCTATTTAAATTATCACTCCAATAGTTATAATCCATAGCTATTTTAAGCATCACTTCAATAGTCATAATCCATAGCTAATGCAAATAATGTGAATGTCATTTAAGCATAAAAGAGTACCTTAGTTTGAGTATCTTTTTCAATTGAAATTCCACCCACACCCATCCAAAATCTTTTTTTTTTTTTTAAAAAGTAAATGGTGTAAATAGTATGGCGGCAGCAAATAAAATATTATTCCTTAATTTTATTTTTACAAATGCCCATAACAAATTTCCCAGCTGTATTCTGGTGCCCTTGTGATATTCTAAGCATTGAGATCAAGTAAGCAAAATAAACAGTTAAAAAATGTTAATTTATTAAAAATCTCCAGAAATAAGTCATTGAATCCAGTGCTTTAATGCAGACCTGTTTACTCTTACGATTTTGGCTTACAATGCACGCTTTTGAGGTTACATTATATATACTGTTGGTTTATTTTTTTACTATAAAGATATGTATAAATTGATTTTGTGATGTTATTATACGATTTTAAGAGTTTGAGGGGAAATAGGTCTTTTAATGTTACCATTGGTGTCAGTCTTTCCTTAGTGTTACCAAGATAGTAGATAATCAGTTACCAATGGTGCCAGTCTTTCCTCACTCATGTCAACAGACTTTATTAAATGCAATCAGGAAGTCCTATGGGAAATTGATAAGTTGTACCTAAATGTAATCTACCCCCTTTGGACTATTTCACACACCATGATTTTCAACTGCTAGCTTACAAAAATTGTATTTGTGCTGAGATTGCAAGCAATGAGTTGTGTCAACAATCCATCAGAGCTCTCTTTGATCAACTTCATGCTCAGCCGTTCTTGTCAGATTTATTCTGCTGTTCAAAACGAATGTGAAACATACCCCACCGTTAAACTGTTTAGTTTGAGAAGTGAAAGCTGTTGTTTAGTTTGAGAAATGAAAGCTGTTGTTTAGTTTGAGAAATTAAAGCTGTTGTTTAGTTTGAGAAGTGAAAGCTGTTGTTTAGTTTGAGAAGTGAACACTGTTGTTTAGTTTAAGAAATTAAAGCTGTTGTTTAGTTTAAGAAATGAAAGCTGTTGTTTAGTTTGAGAAGTGAAAGCTGTTGTTTAGTTTGAGAAGTGAAAGCTGTTGTTTAGTTTAAAAAATGAAAGCCGATGTTTAGTTTGAGAAGTAAAAGCTGATGTTTAGTTTGAGAAGTGAAAGCTGTTGTTTTTTAGTTTGTGAGATGACCTTGAAATGATTTTTCATTATTTTCTTTATCTTAAGTTTAGCAGTCTCCCACATCTTGTTCCTTTCAGTTGTATAATATGACCAGTAATTCGATTAACAGATCTTTGCTTTATGCCCTCAAACTTTGATGGTCATTGGACATATCTTCCTGTCGCTCAATGTCAAAATCTTCCTGTCACTAGGTGTCAAAATCTTCCTGTCACTAGGTGTCAAAATCTTCCTGTCATTAGAGGTTATGAACTGTGTATAGTTTTATCAAGTCGACAAAAATGACATCTAAACACCAACATCAATTTTTGTAATGATCTGTTGTTTTTTTTTAAAAATATTATTATAATTTGTAATCATATTGGAAATGCTTAAGGTAATTATTGTTTTAGGTACCAGTACCCAGTACGAAAACACGTTTCACAGTAATGATACCAATGTATTTTATTGTGCAGGCCATAAGGCTGCCACTTCTATCCAAGCTTTTTGGCGAGGATATTGGGCAAGAGAGCACAATACCAAAGTTGTTTCCGTTCGAAAAGAAATCCGTGCGAGGCGAGCAGAAGACCATATAATGCTCCTGAGAAAAGATCTGGAAAGGTAACTCCTATTTATATTGTCACCACTGTAATTACTTTTAAAAAAATAATAAATCTATAATAATAATATATCACATTACAAAAGTCTTCTTTCTAGTTGGTGGAAAAACTATTAAACTCAATGAAACATTCCTTTGTTATGATGAAGATTAAGTTTTAGTGAATACAAAATGCCTTGTTTTTTTTGTACAGATAACACAGTCATTTGCAACACTGTAGTTTTGAGAGGCCCTTTTAGAAGACTCTTTTAAAAAAATCATATGTCATAATGATATGCAAGCAAATCAATTAATTTAAAAAATTACTTTGATAAGATATACCGTATTTATTGACATATAACACGCCCCCACGTATAACATGCACCTCAATTTAAGAAGGAAATTTCAGGAAAAAAAACTAAACATTATATTGGCGTATAACACGCACACATGATTTGCTCCCTATTTTTGGGGAGAAAAAGTGCGTGTTATACGCCATTAAATACGGTAATTATTTTGAAGCAGTTTATGATAAAAGAGAGGCAGCTCTAAAGTTATTGTTTAACACATCGTTAGTATCAATAAGTTGTTTTCAATAACTCTTCAGAAATCGTAAGCTCTATGAAGAAGAAAAACGTCTGAGAATTTTGCAGATGGAAGCCATCCGACTTCTGTACCATGAGGTAAGTAAGAAGTGATGAACAAATAAATTTAACTAAGTAAGTTATGTAACTGGCATCGGTACAATAATCTTTGGCACACGGTTGCACGCTTTGACAAAGTTGTCTTTAAAATCTGTGCATTGTAGCTATTTAAAGTAAAAACTGGATTTTTAAAAAAATGTAAGCCTCTCAACTGATTCTGTGCAGGTGCAGGTGTTGAAGTCCCAGAGCACAACCTCCAACAAAGATCTCGGCAACACCACTGCCAACACCTCTGTGAATTTTAGCCCCACGGCCACTGGAACATCAATGGTGACGGCTGCACCTGCTGCATACAGCGAGCTTAACAGGACCCAGGAGTTGGAGCGGACTTGCCTTAGTCTGCAGAGTCAGGTAGACTATATCAATATGACATCAAGTAGAATATATAACAATATAAATTTGGTAGAAAATATCACAACATTAGGTGGGAGGTAATATAACATCAACTTAAGAATATCACTGCAATGTCAGTTAGTTAATTTATAACAATGTAAGATCATTAAGACAAATTATAACAGTTTAATGTCAGGCACTGAATTAGTATCCATAAAATATCAAGTACACGAACAATACCAATTAAGTTTTAGAAACACATTTAAAAACTTTGCTGTTTCAAGAATTTTAAAAAAAATTTTTTTTATTGAAAATGTAATTTGCATCACAGTAAAGAACAAAAAACAAAATTTAAAAAAATATATTCGCCAATCAACTATCATTTTCACTATACATTGTTTCATTAAAAAAATTTGAACTAACATTCCAAGAATAATCAAAACTTTATGCGTTTAATGTTTTAACAGGTCTCCCATCTACAAGAGGCACTAGCATCTGTGTCTTCAGCTGTTTTCAGAACTAATAGTTTGGACAGTGCCAACTTTGAACTCACAGGTAACATTTTGTTATTGACATTACTAATTTTAAACAAATTATTTTTTAATTCAAATGATGTTCTGTTATATGGTTTTTAATAAAAATAATTACTAAATAGCTATAAAGTATTTCTACTTTAAAAAAAAAATAATTATCTATTGGAGATATATCACAACACTGTTAAAATTGGCCTATTGCTAAAAGATAGCTCTACTTAAATAATCTATTGAAGATATACCACAACACTGTTTAAATTGGTCAATAGCTATAAGGTAGTTCTACTTTAATAATCTATTGAAGATGTACCTCACCAATCTTTAAACTGGTGAACAGTTTTATCTCTAACAGTTGCCTAGATTAATTATTAAGCTACAAATGCTTCCATGCCTGATGAATTCTATTATATTTACTATGCTTCAGCCCTTTAATAGTTTTATTCTTACTTTTATTAATCAGGTTCTGTTGCTATTGATGTGTGATCTGATCTTCTGGGTACTCTACCAGTAGAAATTTAGTTGTGGGTTTCCCAGTGGATTAGAAAGGGTGATCGTGATGATCCTGGGGATTTGGCGGAACTTTGAGCAGACAAAATGAATATTTTTTAATTCACCCAATTTCTTTTATTCTTCAGATCACTCAGACACTGTGCAGGTGAGCCCTAACTTTGATGACCATCAGCCCAGGAGTAGACATCCATCGGAAGAAACTAGTCATTGGGGTCAGTTCATAATCATATACCCATGGCTGGTCCTTATTTTTTTTTTTTCTCATGGTTGAGCTTAAGTTGGTGATTGAATCAGGGTAAGTACCTCGTTGCACAGCTTCCCCAGGCTTTCTCAGAAACTCAGACATAATTTAATTGAGTCATATAATCATATGTCTCCACGTTGGCTCCATATGGTACAAAGTGATCGGACGTACACATGCAGGGCCAGAAGACAATTATTTCAAAATGCCAAAAAAAGGCGAATATGTTAACTCTGATTGACCATTTAGTCTACTGAGAGCCAGATTGTTCCAAGTGCCAAAGTACTGAGCGGCAGATTGTTCCAAGTGCCAAAGTACTGAGAGCCAAATTGTTCCAAGTGTCAAAGCCAAAGTTGTCATACATTCAGATTTATCTAGTAGGCAGTAAAATATTTGTTAACCCCCAAAACACTGTTTTTGACTTTGCAAAGATGCAATTTCAAGTATTATATGTTGAATATATTATTTACTTAACATAGGAAGTTAGAAAATTACAAAAGTCTGTGTTGGTAATTTTGACCCTTAGTGCATTCTTGCTCTCAAGGGATGATTTGTATGCCACATAAGTATTTCTTATGATATAGTTTTTGAAAAGTTATGTAAGCTAATTGAGCAATAATTTGATAACTGACATAAAGGGAATATGACTTTGATCCATGGCAGGTTGCATTCCTCATTCCCTGTCACCTTACCCATCGGAAGAAGAAGAGCAATATTACCTGCGTGTGCCCATGCATGGCGCCCCCACTCCTCCTCGTTGCCTGCAGCTGCACCATTTCAGCCCCTCCGCCCTGCTGTTGTCATGGCAACCCTCATCTTGTGCAGGCAGATTGAAGGAGGAGGAAGGAAATAGACACATCATAGGTTTGTCTAAAAATCAGCAGCATTTTTTTTAAGGGTTGTAATCTTAGACCTAGCGTGCCCCTGTGAGCTGACCGTGCCCCTTTGAGCTGACCGAGATGCAAGTCTATACCATAAAAATGAGCTGCACAGTTGTCAAATATATCATGAACCAAACCTGTCTGTGTACATACATGTATTCACATATGAACACCATGTTTTAAAACTACTCACATATTAAAAAGAATTTTGGGAACTGTTCGATGAATTACACTACTGCTCTTACATAACAAGTCTGTCTAGCATTCAGATGTGAGGATAGAAAGACCTACTGATATTATGGATACTTGTTATATCCCCCCCCCCTAAACTTTCAAAGGTATAACCTAGAGGGGGCAAGGGTGGGGTGGGATTTTTAAAATTGTTTTAAAATTTCACTTGTCCTTAAAAAAAGGAATTAACCTGAATAATTCCCCAGTGTGGTCGTGCGCCCCCCAATCTTTTTCTTCTAAGCTCTCCTTGTGTATAAAACTGAGCTGTTCAAAGAAGATTTCTCCAGTCATCAAACTGTTTCACAGATAAAAAATATATGCCCCCCCCCCTCCCACCCTGATCTGTGTCTTGCAGGTTACAGAGTCTATGTCAATGACAAACTCAAGGCTTTTATCTGTCACTGTACATCAGCACTCGTTGAAGGTCTAAATGCTGCCACTACCTACAAGTGAGTATCAATAACTACAAAGGCTTTGACTTTGTAGCAAATTTTGGTTAGTTTTACCATGTTTGTTTGCCATCCCTCCAACCAATGGAAATTTAAATACAAAGAAAACACCCACCAAACCCCCCCCAAAAAATCAAAACCCGGAAGAAATACATTAAAAGAGGGATGCAATTTAATTGTCTCCCCTCGCTAGAGATTAGCTGGGATCATTTTCTTTTCACTGGTAAAACACTTTTTTTTAAAAACCAAATAAACTGTTTTTAAAATTCATCCTTGTTTCATTTGTTAATTTTGTATTGGTGTAAAGCAGAAATCTTCAAAGTCTAAATTTGAAAAGCCAGACGAAAGAAGTGCCCATGAACAAAGATAATAATTTTTTTTTTAAATAATTAAATTAGGAGAAATTAGAAAAACTCAGAATTAACTTTATGTTGTTTTAAAAGTAGCAGTGACAATTTCAAAATTCTTCACTCTCAATTTTGTGTACATCATCCAACAGGTTCTACATTAAAGCCTTGTCTGGTTTTGGGGAGTCGTTTGAATCCAATATTCTCATGGTTAAACTAGCCTCCGGACCAGAGAGACAAAAGTACCCAGAGAGCACTGACAGCTCTCATGACAGTGACCGAGATGTTGATTCCTCCCAAAAGACGGAAAAATTGAAACCTAAACACAGAAAACACCGCAGGTCACCGCGGATGGACAAGAAGTCTTCAAAAGCATCCAGTCATCTCTCGTCCAATGAGAAGAATGTGTTCACCAGCCCTGGAGAGTTGGCTCAAAATGTCAACTGCAATAACTCCACGGTGGAAGATTCACCTGTGGGGATTTTCACACATCCCAAACTTCACACACACCGCAGAAACAGAAGTAGAGATTTGCATACTGAAGGGGACAGCTTTAAAGATACGTTGCTGAAAGAGCCCAGCCCAACCGCTGTTGATAGAAAACAAACCGGGCAGATGGTCTCACCGAACACTAAAAATGAGGCCCCCAGGCAATTACCAGAATCACCAAAATCAGGACATCACAGACTGGATGCCGTTGTTAGTGCAGATCTGAAACCAAGGCCTACAACCACTAAAAATAGTGAACCAGACAGAACTGTAAACAGTGGATTGAATGTGGTCATGTCGGGAACTAAGAAAGACTCGCATTGGAGAAAAGACTCCCCTCCAAGTGGGTCCTTCAAGACAGAGTCTCCGTCTCATTCTAAGAAAACATCCCCCATCGCTTCACCATCATGTGGTTCAGACGGCGATCCTAAGTTGAAATCTTCACCTAAACCTGGGAGTGAAGGGTCGTCCTTGAAGGTATCATCCCCCAGCTTGATGGAAACATTCACTGTGGACAAAGGTAGCTCTTATCTGGAGAGCCTGAATGCCATCACAGAGTCCGCTCTCAGCGGGATGTCATTTGGAAGTCCTGGCAGTGGGAGCAGGGGTCACAAGAGAACCAAGAGCCGAGACTACCAACAGGCAAGTGAAAAGTCTGCCACTGACGGTGGTAGTCAGGAGGTTACAGAGTCAGAGGTCTCCGTGGAGGAGGCTGCAAGGCTGGGGAGTAGGCATAAAGAGAGATCCAATGAGGGGAGGAGAGAAGGTGATGGAAGTTCTGACTCTTCTGGGAAACATCGAGGTCACAGGAGAAAAAGGAGCAAAGATCTCAGTAACCAGGGATCAGAATGGAGGACAGATGAAGCTCAATCGGGAGGGCAGGAGGAGAGGAGGGAGGATAATAAATCTGAGGATCACGGAGAAAAGTCAGAAGAAGCCTGCATTTCAAATCTTTCAGATGGTGTACCATTGCCAAACAGACCAGTCATTGATGGCCGCCACCGTCATTCTTCAGGGAGTAGACCAAACAGTCCAGTGGTCAGCGTAAGTGGAGGTGAAGAAAAACCCAGGATGTCTATTGCTGAGCTGTTGTTGGAGCAGCAGAAAGTAAGAAATTTGAAGTTGAAAGAGTCCGGCAGAGGTGATCAGGTACAAAGATTGGAGACCAACCGAAGGTCATCCAGCATTGATTCAGTTTCTAGCAACACCTTTGGCGATACGTCTCGAAGGTCACCAAGTGCAGAATCTTTGCCAGAAAGTATCAGAGAAGACGCAGAACAGGATTCAGACCAGAAATTATCTCAAAATCTGCCCACAGGAGGTCGAAGGGCACAACCCATAGCACCAACAAGGGAGGCCACTGAGGCAAGTCAGGTACGATTGTCTAAGGAAACCACAGCTGCCATGATGTCTAAACTTCTGCACAAGTTGGAAACTATCACCAAAAACTCAGCGGGTGGAAAGAAGGAGAGTCTCACGTTAAAGAGGTCCAACACGGAGGAGAAAGATTGGGATTTGGGCTCCAAGCCTCCTTCTGATGACGAGAGGAAAGGTCGTTCTCGCAACCTGAGCGAGAGTGATGCGGAGGGGGGTCCGCAGCTTCCCCCTCGTGTTCCTAGCGGTGACAGCTCCTCAGGGAGTCACTCTGATGACAGCAGGCAATCGAGAAGGCATCAGCACAGAAGGTAACTGAGTCTATAATTAAAGATGAATATTTCATCTCTCTGGAAGTTAATACAAATAACTTAAATGCACCTTGAAGCCCTCTTAGATAAAATTGAAATTTGGGGCCCTGTCAGTAACAATAGATGAATAAGTTTTTTTAAAAATAATTTGGCTTGGTTTAATGTGTTAAAAAAACTCAAGTTATTGCAGCTTCAGGTAGGTTAATTTCTAATTTTTGTGTACATTTCACAATGTCGGCATACAAAATTTAAGATTGAAATAATTTTAGCTAATTTTTGCCAGGATATTTCTGTAATGTAAACATCCTATCTTGTAAATTTTGACTTCCAGAACTCCATCCGATCATTGGCTCCCACCAAGCACTGACTACACCAGGCCCACACACAGCCCCATCATCATGGAGGGCGCGCTTGTGAAAAAGCACGGCTCCAGTGTCAGAAGAAACCAGTCTTTCCATGGTTTGCTCCCCTCAAAACACCAGGATACCAAGACGTCCCCATCCTCTAATGAGGTTAGAAACCTTCATCAAATATTTATTTTAACAAACTATTTCTACTAAATTTCTGGTCACATCACTATGTAAATGAGATATTGTAATTTTTCATTTTTCATCAAACAATGATTCAAAATTCTTATTTCTATTCAATGGTTTTGACTCATGAGCTCTAATGGAGACAGCTAATAGATTGGTAACAAATATAATATTGAAATGCGGCCCTTTTGTATTGTAAACAGCAAGTGTGATTTAAAAACATCAATCTCATGATAAAATGTTCTTTTTTTGCACTTTTTTAATTCAACTTTTTGCCTTCACTTATCATTTTCACACCCAATCTCATATTACCAAAAAATCCACTTTAAAAACTCACTATAAGGTCAACCTCAGAGGAAGAATTTCTTATGGATAATTTAACAGTTTCAGTTTGACACTATTCTTGGAATGATAATTAATTATTTTTCAAATTTACATAATAAAAATAGTTTTTTTCAAAATTACAAAAATTCCAAACCATCTGTACATATATAATTTTCTTTCATCAATCACTTTCACCTCAAGAATACTCAATAATTAAAATTTACTCTTGACAGGAGACCTCCCCAAAAGCTGATGAACAAAACCCAGCTCTATCTCAATCAGTAAGTACAAAACTACAATCATTTTATTTGTAGGATATAATTTCTGTATCTGAGCATTTCAATGTTAAAACAATTCGGCAAAAATGTTTGACACCCATGAAGTTATTTTATGGAAGGCTTTCCATATTAGCTTGAGCAGCATAGACTAATGTTTAGTTATATCATTTAAGCTATTTTTTATTTTTTTTATTTTTAAACCGGAGTGATTTCAATATTCAAATGACACTATCCCTTTTCAAACAAAATGATACAAATTTATTAGCTTTCAGCCATAGTATCATATTTTTAAAAAATATGTGTTAAAGATAATAACCTTAAAGAAATTTTTAAATGATCATTATATTTTCAACACGGTTTTTCTCAATTATCCTCATTTATTAACTTTTACATTTTAACAAACTCTGATACTAAATCTAACCTTACTGGAATGGATAAAAAAATTGATTCAATGAAATAGGCCAACTTTCCAACAAAAAAGAAAGAGTATATTAAACAATAATAAAGGTAGAGGTTCACAATAATTACCTTAAATTTTGTAAGGATTTAAAAATAAGCTAGTATCACGTTGACTTTAATCTCACCATTAGCTGTGAATTATTGTAAATGTTCAGTCGTTCACCCTTGTTCACTTTTGTTGTGTTACTTCTTAGTGTTTTTTCCATTGCATGTCACTTAATTTACTGATCTTTCCTCCTCCCTTAGGCAGTTTGTGACACAAATTAAGCAAATTGGTATGGTGTGCCATCTTGTTTTCTTTTTTCAAAATCTCCACATAACTAAAGTTTGATTTATTTATTTTTTGATACTACAATTTTTTATATTTTTTTTGTATTTTTATTATGTAGCTTAACAGTTTTTAAAAAGTATATCTCATACTTGTATTGTAGATTTTGTGTAAACTGATTTATGAAGTTAAAAATAAAAACATAAGCCCCAATAACAGTATGATGAAACCTTCATCTCACAAAGAGCAACATTTAGACCTGTGTGGCTGGCTACTCATTGTTTCAATGAGTCCTTTTTAAACAAAAACTTAAATTGAAAGGAGGTAATTAATTAATGCAAAATTATTTTAAAGAATAGTTTTGCTTCATTAAGAGAAATGTATAACTGTGTAAGAGCTTAATTTCCTTTTTTAAAGTACATGGTATCATATTTGTTAATTAATTGTTTATTAGGTTTACATATAATTTTATTAATAATCTTAATGTGACACCTACTATTTATTAATTAATTAATATTTTTTTACTTATTCTAAATTAAATATATTTTACAATTTTTTTTACTCTACCTGGACAAAATTAAATTTTTTGGCAAGGCTATTTAGTTTTACTTTTCTTATTTATAGAACAGCAAAAGTCAGTCTTGATTAACTTTTAATTAGCTTTTTGCTGAAAATTAAAAAAAAAAATTAATTGAAGTCATTGGCCTACAATTTCTCTTTTTTTAATGATAAAAAATCAATTCCAAAAAAAGACAACAATTTAATTTAATTTAATGTTATAAAGTTATAATATATTTCTCGTCAATTATTTAAAAAGTGAATGAAAGCTAGTTATTAGTCTTATGGCTAGGGCACTGTTAAAACTAAAGACATTTTTTCACTGTACCTTAAAATCAATATCAGAATAAGTTAATGGTATTGACAGATATTTTTTTTACATTTTATTTTTAAAATATATTCTGCATGTTATTAATTGTTTTGGATTTTTTTTGTTACATCTCTTTAAAATGTTGTTATCTTCAATTTTATACTTGTTAACCATTTATACTTTTAAAATATTTTTCTTCTTACAAACAGTAAAAAACATTTCTAAATTTTAATCTGAATTGAACAGCTTTTAATAGAAAACATGTTGCAATAATATTTCTCAATCCAGTTGTGGGTTGGTAGGGGTGGGGGAGGGTACCTGGGGGTGCAGGATTGCTGTGAAAGTTTGAAACCCAAATGATTATTATTTAATTTTATTTTTTTTTTCCATTTGTTACTTGATTGCCATATAATGACTAATGACATGTCTTATGGGACAATTTTGCTGATTATTAAAAAAAAACTATTTTTTAAAATTCCACATTTTTATAACAGAAATATATTTTGTTTACCTTAACACACACCAACAAACAAACAAAATAATTAACAGTTAAGAAATTTTAAGAGAATTGAAAAGAGTACTACTTTTAATATTTGTTGCTTCAAAAAAAAAACTTGAAAATGAGGAATAAATTTGACATTTATTTACATGAAATTATCCTAACACTTTACTGTATTTTTTTGTAGGATACACCTGTCCGTTCTAGGGCACTTATACGTTCTCGTACTCCAAGTCCAGCAGGCAGTCGGACACCCATCTTATCAGTGGCTCAACTAAAACGTCATTCAGATGGTGGGAAACCCTTCTCCAGTACTCCTGGCAAGATGTAGATAACATCAATTTGACATCTACTGTGGACAATACACCATAATAAATATGAATATTATTTGGCTCTGAACATTTTGACAGAGAAAGAATTGAAGAATTTCTTTGGTTTTGTACAAAAATTAAAAAATATTTGCATTGAAATTTTATTTTGTGACCCAAAGTTCAAGATTAGTTTGAAATGCCAGATCTGGACAATGTGCATAGAACTTGACAATTAATTCTTTCTGACTTTCTTTTCTCTAACATCCATGCTTCCTGTTATTTGACAGCTATTGATTTGGTAAAGGGGTAACCTATGAATTTTCCACTTGCAAAAATCCCAGGGATAAGTCAGCTTGCCAATCTTCAATTGCCAACAAAGCTTTGGAAGCAGTGCTTGACCTACATTTTAACTGGGCAGACCATCATTATAAGGATAATATATAAGGGACTGCTTTCAAGACTTATGAAGGAAATAGTAGAACAAGAAATGTGACAGCTTGAAGTGATTTTAAACCCAGTACTTGAAAATGATTGCCATGAGCTTGAATCTATAAGTCCTTAAAATATCTTATTTGGGCCCAGTAAGCTTGTGCAGACTTTTTATTAATATCTTGTTCAGAGTTTTTGTATGAAGTTGATTTTTTAAAATCCGTGACATTGATGACTTTAAATCAACGCCCTATGAACACATGCAGTCAGATTAATCAGGAAGCAATTGACGTCCATTCGGTTCCAGGAACCATGGGTGCCTACGATGACTTTATATCATCGCCCAATGAACACACTCAAACTTTGATGACTTGATATCATCACCCAATGCCCGATGAACACACTCAAACTTTGATGACACAAATTGATAACAACAAAGTTTTGCTAACCTATAAAATTATATTTTGAAATATATATGTTTGCTTAACATTTAAGTTTTATTTGGATTTTTTCATGACCTTCACAATGTGTGTCAATCAATCTAATTTTTTTGGTTTAAAATTCCGCTTTAGTTCATGTAATTAATGGAAGTAGAGTTCAGAATGTTGGTACTACTGTTATTATTTGAATAGAGCTGTGGTCCCCAAACCTTTCAGCAATTCATGTTTATTTGAGGAAGCTCTGACTTTTAAGAAATTTTTATTTAAAAAAATACCAACTTTTAAGTGTTCACAAGTATTAGTAGGAGCCTTATAGCATAGAGGACCAAAGTAATAGACATTCAGCATTTAAAACACATTTATAGATATTATAATTATGTTATATCCCAGTATGTACATAGCTAAAAGCCAATAAGAACATATTAACGCTAGATTCACCGCTGGGAATTAATTGTATCAAGCATAAAATTCTCTACACAAAAAAGTGGTTCCCATCCATTCATAGGGCAGAGTATTAGGGTTTATGGGACCTCTGATCTAGAATAATTTGAAATACCAGTACATTATGTCTGCAGATTTGTTTTTTTCTCACTGCCTTTGAATGTTTTACCAATGAGACAAAGAGAATTTCATTCTCATCTATGTATGTTGTGAAATCACATATTTTCAGTTTCACACCTGGTAATTGGACCACAATATGTGTATTAACATATAATGTATAGAAGTCACCATTTTCCGTCCTGCTCATCTCAAAATATTTTATTTATGCATTTCGAACCATAAAAATCAGTATTTCATCAAAGCATTTCTACACCATGGCCTTCCTTGTATCTGTTTTTTTTTCTTCTTCAAAGCACTAAATTTTGGATTTTGTTTTTGCTAATGAAAAAAACCAAAAAACTCCTTTTATAAATTCAAGATTTATCAACCTTATTACCAAAACAATTTGGGCATTTTCATTTATTTCACATAACATTTATCATTAACTTACCCTTAAACACAGAATACAATTTTGTCCATTTATTATTATATATATTCTGCATTTGAACTCAAAATCTTTAAAATTAAATTTATAAAAAAAATAGTTTTGTGGGTATCGGAGTATCCCTATAAATAAAGTTCAAGTGTGTAGAAATTGTAATGAATCATGGAAAAAAAGCATATTATTTAAAATTAAAATCTGAATCAAATGTACATCTTGACTCATTTATTTAAATGCAAATCATTCATGTATTCATCCAAGTTCCTTAATTCATATTTACTTTTTAAATTGTTTGAGTTGATTCTACAAGAGTTGAAATTCACAAGTAGTTTTAAAATTTTAATTTCTTATAGTGATCTTTTTTTTTTTTTTGTTAATTGAGCTTGTTAATGGGGTAATTATATGGAGAGCAGAATAATAGTACATATAATTATATATATTCTTATAATTTTAAAAATTGTTCTTTTTTTTGTTGTATTTTGTGATTCATGAAATGTACATACCCGGTACCAAATAAATTCCTGAAAATTGAATTTTTAAATATACTTTTTTGGGGTTATTTTTTATTTTATTTCTGCCATTCTTTTATTTATCAGGATTGCTTATACCTGGTATGCATTATACCAATATGAAGGGGCATAATTTAAATATTTGCAACTACATGATAAATGTGTGCTCTTACCGTACCCTCTCATTACCCACGTACTTCATTGAAGATAAAATTCAGTTCATTCTATTCATAACTAAACAGATTTTATCTTTAACAATAAAGCTTGGGCTAAACCAATATATTACTTTATTTACATTTTCTACCAACTACATGCAGTGGGATGAATTAAGAAGAAACTGATGTCCATTCAGTTCTAGCAACCACAGGTGCCTATGATGAATTTATATTATTAATATCATCGCCAAATGAACACACTCAAACTTTGATGACTTGATATCATCACCCAATGAACACACTCAAACTTTGATGACTGATATCATCACCCAATGAACACACTCAATCTTTGATGACTTGATATCATCACCCAATGAACACACTCAAACTTTGATGACTTGATATCATCACCCAATGAACACACTCAAACTTTGATTACTTGATATCATCACCCAATGAACACACTCAAACTTTGATGACTTGATATCATCACCCAATGAACACACTCAAACTTTGATGACTTGATATCATCACCCAATGAACACACCCAAACTTTGATGACTTGATATCATCACCCAATGAACACACTCAAACCTTGATGACTTGGTATTATCACCCAATGAACACACTCAAATTTTGATGATATAAATTGAAAACAACAAAGTTTTGCTAACCTAACAAAATTTAATTTGCAATATATATATATATTTTGCGTAATGAAAGTTTAATTTTTTTTTTCTTACTGTGACAACATTTCTAGTGGAAAATAGCTCCTAAATCTTTCTTTGATTAAGATTTTGTAATTTAAATGAATCAGAAGAATCCTTTCATTTTGAAATCTCTATCAGAGTATAGTTGTTCTGCATTAGAACCCAGCAGGTGAGCAAAGTAATCATAAGAAAATCCAGTATCCTTCTTCTTCTTCTTCTTTATTTTAAGGGCCCACGATCAATGAATTGATCATTCTGGCTCCTATGTTTCAGAGAGGTTTGCGATGTTACTGTCCATGGGTTTCAATGGGATACTTCACTGGTTGCAAGGGCGACTCAGCAGTGGTGTTATGAACTGGGGGTTGGAATACAGGAGGCAATAGACACAAATGTATCGAGTGTAGCCGCCTCAACTGTTGCTTTTGGAAGCTTGTTCCAGTCCCCTATTGTCTTCGGCAGGAATGAGGAGCTTCTGTACTTCGTTCTTGTTTTTACCAGCCGGAACTGTTTGTCGTGACTTCGTCGCAGTCTGNGGTTTCAAAAAAAGGGGGGGGGGGGGAACATAAAGCTTACCAAAAAGACATAATTTGGATAGCTATTGTTTTGTATACAAAATATCATTGACTTAAGCTAGAAGTCTGTACAAAAAATATTTTGGGCTAGTCAGTGTTAATTGTTTTAACTTTAAACAAATTTATGGGATGCTAAAAATAAGACAGAAAAATAAATAGCAGAATATTGAATTTAAATATGGAATGGATAAGTTATTAGCATTTTAAATTTAGCAAATTTATAGTAAGGCTATAATGACCAGGAAAACCCAAAAACTGATTTATTAAAGTTTATTTAAAACTTAATAAAATATTTGGGTGTGGGGAGAGGGGACCAAGATTTTTTTATCAGTGTCCTTTAAGTTCTTCAAGTTAATGACCAACATGAAATAAATTATTTATGACTTGAGCCCCGAGCCAGGTATTAATGGCAAAAGTAGAACACATTAGTATTTCTTAAGGTATTTAAACAAGATTTAGATGACATTTCCTTGAAGAAAAATATTTAAATCCAGTGTCTTACAAAATTTTTTAACAGGTTTCAAAAATTTGATTTAAACTTTAAAAAAAAAACTAAGATGAAGAGCTTGGTAAAAGTTATAACTCGAATATGAATAGGCCTTGGATGATTTTTTTTTTAAAGCTACCATACATAAATTATGCAAACATAAGATGTTAACAGAATTGAGCAACAAAATAAATAAATTATAATCAATTAATAGTGGCTTTAAACAAAAAAAACTTAAAAACATCAAAATCAGCTAAAATTAAAGCAAGCCACGGTGTATATATGTAAAATCTAATAAGTTAACATAAAATTAGAATGCTATTCAAAGCATTGCTTCGAGCTATGTTTATTTTCAATAGTGGCAAGAAAAGTAACTCCAATATGAATAATGGTTCAATAAAACTTCAAACTACAAGGCTTTTGTCCCACATTATAATATCTCAAATTATGTGTGTTTTTTTTTAAAACATCTAATTAATGACTGACTTGCGGCAGATTCGAAAAAGCCATGATTAGATTTGCAATGAAACCACAATCTTTATAATTAATGTTCCAACACCTTTTGTTTTGCTGTTGGACAAATATGCTTTAAAAAATGATTAATTAAATGGTAATAATATTTTGGGACAATTGTTTATGAAATTTAAATTGTCATTTGATGAAAGGAGGCGAAAACTTTTTGGCTTTGAGGCTAATTCCAACAGGTAGACCAGAAAATTAGTTGCATAAGTAGAAAATAATATATACATTATTGTAAAATAAATTCATAGCCTTTTAATACATAGACTAGAAAAGTAATATTGCATTCAGTGTGTTTGAAATGTGATGAGGCTTTGATATGGATTAGATTGCAAATATTTTTTTCCTAATTGCGAGTTCAGGATTGGCAAATTCAATAAAAAATTATTTTAAATATTATAAATTCTAAATAAGCATCTCCCACAGTTACCACAGTTTTAAAAACGACCTATATTTACTGTTTCTCAATAAATTAATTAATTTTCTTCTCATTATATTTTTTAAAACATTTTTTTTTGGTTTAATCAACAGATGAAAGCTTTTTTATAATGGCTGAAAATTCACGTGATTCTATGTTTACAAACCCTTGCTATCAGATCTACAGTAGAACATTTAAAAATGGGTCAACAAGTTAATTAAGGGAAATTAGGAATACATTATCACAATTTAAAAAAAAAAAATTGTAAATGTTTCCATCAGCACAAAATGCAGGTAAAAAAATCAATTGCACAAAACTGTGGTCATTGAGAGGAACAGTGGCAGAGGAATGGTAACACATCTAGATTAAAAATAGTTTCTTAGATTAAATTTAAAAAAACAAGACAGATCTTGTAAGGCTCTGTATGTGACTCTGTGATTTAGAAAGTAAACAAAAAGACTTGCGTTCCCAGAGTACTCTTGTGGAATCCAGAAATGATGACATGAGGTGGAGGTGAGGGCAGAGCGACAACAGCATTTATATTAACATGCTGGGTACCTTAAAAGGATCGCCATCTTTAGTATCCCCACAGTCGCAGCTTCATAAAAAATGATATGCTCCCAGGACACCACCTCAAAGATGGAATGCTAGTGTCTCTACATGACCGAGATGTTACTTCTCTTTACAAACAAGCAAAAAGTGAGATTGTGTCACAAGGAAATATGCTTATAATTATTAGCATATTTATAAAGCTGCAAAAACATGGAATATTGTAAAGTTGTGGACATTAGTGACAAAATGAAAATTGGGTCACCTAGAACTTCCCTTTAAGATTTATGGATCTAGGGTTTAATCTAAAGAGTAAAAAAAAATTTATGAAATGCATCTTGGAAAGAAATCTACTACTTTAAAACACATAACACATCTGTAAGACATAAAAAAATATTTGTCATTCTTAATTCTTTGATACAGACATCTCGTAACAAGCACCGCAGACGTAGCGTTAGTATAAGTTTTTTTGAAAAATAATGTTAATTAAATAAAAAAGACACATTATTCCTGCTCGTTGAGTTTAACATTAAGATAAAGTCATTAAAATGAGAGCCAAGAAATGGCACACATTTAATGACCAATATGTGATCTTCAACAGCTTTCCCTCATATTTTGCAGAGAAATATGTCTTTATCACAAACATGGTCTACCAAAGAATCATTGAATTAAAAATGACATGGCAAGAGGGAATTATGTGGTAAGAGGGGATCTTGTGGGAAGAGTGGATCTTGTGGGAACAGGAGATCTTGTGTCTTGTGGGAACAGGAGATCTTGTGGGAAGGGTGATCTTATGGGAGGAGGGATCTTGTGGGAAGAGGGAATCATGTGGAAGGAGGGGTAATTGCGGGAATTAAGGATCATGTGGGATGAGGGAATCTTGTGGAAGGAGGGGTTCTTGTGGGTAGTAAGGATCATGTGGGAAGAGGTAATCTTGTGAGATGAGAGGATTATGTGGGAAAAGTGGAGGCCATGATATCGGAGTCTTGCTTAATTTTTACTTCTAAATAAGATCATAGTTAGATTTGATTTGTGATGGGGTGAAAAAAATGACATTTTTACAAATTCAAGGTTTCTAATTCTTTACTGATGTATGCCTTTAAATTTTTTTTTTTTTTTTTTTACAAATCTTTGAAACGAAACATAATAACTGACTCATGACTTTTCTAGTACTGGAAAAAAGCTTTCCACAAAAATATATGTTACTTTTGAATGAATGACCACATACTAATGATAATTTTTGGCAAGACGTTTAGATCAGATAATGATTTTTATCAATGCTCAATTCAATAACTCATCAAGATTAAAGATCCAAGGCAAGTTTTTATTTATACCATCTAAAATGGATTTCTTTTCAAACTCAATGTAAAGGTAAGATAGAAAAAATATTGGGTCATAGAGTTTAAAACTTGGTCCCAAAGCATTGTTAGCAAACAAACAAGAATAAAATGAGTGTTCCTTGTGATTGTCATTTGTTAGATTGAAACAATTCAAATTACTTTACTTTCTGTCTTTATTTAACTTAAATTATTTTTGGAAAATTTTTGTTATGAGTTATGTTTATCTTTTTGAAATAAAAAACAAAACCATGGACCAACTTGTTATGGTCCAAGAATACCACTTTATGACTATCTGAAGCAACAGTCATTGACAGAGAATACTACTTTAAAATATCTGATGCCATAAAACAGTACTGGTAATGGTCAACAGTTCATGACTGCTGTTAGAAAAATATATTCTTAGTTTAGCATAAACCATATTTTAACTATTAACAGGAATGACAAATTTAACAAGACTGCCTCTGACATTAATCACAGACTCTCAAGAACTTTATTTGGAGCAACCATTCTATTATTGTCCCAAGCTTAAGTAGAACATTATATATCTAGTTATTTGTATAAAAAATAACTTTTTTCTTTTTTAAAGTTATATTTTAAGTGTCTGGTTACAGGTAAACAGATTTGAATTTCTTTTTTCTTTCAAAAAATGGCAGTCAGTCTTCTTCACTGTGTAACTCTTTTTTGCCAACATCAGTCTGTAAGGTTTGACTGGGTTTTTGTCAAGGATGATAATGATAATTATAATAACAAACATTAACATTTCATTATAACAAATGAACCATTTTTACTGACACCAAATTTAAAAACAAAAACAAAAAAAAACAGCATCTCTTTAGTTTTTTTACACCCGTGACACCAAAGAATTGATATTCATGGGCTGCTGTTAGCAGTGGCGGACACCCTAACTAAAATAGTTTTAACGATTGAAACCAATGTGCTTGCTCCTCTGTTATTTATATCAAACAAGAGGATTTCAGTACTAGCTAACGATGTATTGACTAAATTTTACTTTTTATGGATTTAAACTGTTTTGAGATGGCTCATTTAAATGAATTTGCTCATGAACCTGGTGCATATCACAACATGAAAACAAAATTTAACTATTTAATAGCAAATGTCATTGAAATCTTACTTGGTGGTAATTTTTTTTCAATAACTCATTGATTAAGAATTATAATTGGCACACCTATGCTTATAGGCTAATTGATAGTTTTTTCAACAAGACACCTGACTTTTTGTTGGTATAGCCAGTAAGTGTTTACCCTGGTGTTGATATGAATTTCACCTATATAAAGGATACACTGATACACTCAAACTGTGAAGCTGGGGAGAAAGTACCAAACCAAACTTACCATGTTATTCATAACTAAAGGATGCAATACAAATAATAATCATAATTTAAAGAATAGATCATATGTACTAAGATAATTAAACAATGTTATAATTTTTAAAGGTTAATCAAATTTGTAGTGAATTATGTTGAAAAGTTATGAATGTGTTATCACTGCTGGCAAAAGACAAGTGAACTTCCCATTATTGTTTTTGATCTATTCCACTAGCAGCCTATGAACATGTTAAGGCCAGGATTAGGTCATATCAGCCCATTTGTTGTGACACTAATGTTCCTTCTATAGAAATGCCTGCAAAATCATAGTTTGGAGTTTGTGCTCTGTCATCTGATCATATTTGCGTTTGGGAAATTTTAATTTAATATCTAATTTACCTGTTCTATTAGTTTATCCATTTTTTCATTATTTTCTTTTCGAGATTCTTCAGTGCTGAGCCTATTCAAAAATGAATATCAAATGTTTCAATGACAGAAAATGTAATATGTTATGATTATTTAAGTTCTATGCATTCCTTCACACAGCCAATAATGAGTGCAAAATATTTGATAGAGAAACTTTTCTAGATTAGCAACAACAGCCAATTATTTGATGCAAAGACAGTCATTGGATTAACAACTATTCAGAAAATGTTGCTTTTCTCACATTTAAAGCAACTTCTTAATTTCCTAGTTTGCATAAAATGTGAAATATACTTCAGGCATTATTGGAAATTAATTTCTTAGTATTCAAAATAAAGCCTATAAAGTGTGATGCAAAGGGCCAGGAAATGAAAAAAATATGTATATATTATAAATTAACATGCAGTGTTGTTAGAATTCAAATTATAGAAATTCAAGAAAAAATATGATACCAAATTATATATTTGGGTATAATATACTAAAAATGTTGTCATGAATACACTTAAAAACAAAAACAAAGAAATTAAACAACTGTCCTAGTATTCTTTAGCTAGTATTTACCAAATTTTTTGAAAATTTTAGTTATTATTCACCAATTACTCAAAAAAGGACCCTGTACACTTAGCATAGACCACATGGATTAAATGTTCTTTAACTTTAAACAGAACAATCTGCACTAAATTATATCAACTGTAATCTTATCAACTAATGATCTAATTGTATACCGGGTATCAGTTCTTATAGGTAAATATCTTTCCAATCATACCTGTTTGCAGTAGTTCTTGGAATAAGATCCATTTCAAAATGTGTCTTGGCAAGCTGTTCTTGTTGCACTCTAATTGCATCCATCTTATTGAATGTAGCAGTGTTTCCTAACAGCAGACATAACATATAATAATATATTTAATTTTAGGGTGCCAACACTTTTCATCAAACCGAGAGAAATGAGTGTCAATGACAATTTGCCACTTTTAAAAGTTGAATAATATCTAGTTTCTTAATTTAAATAAATTTGTCAACGACCCTTGTAAAACCTGGTCTATTATTTACAAATTTAAAAAATAAATTGCTATTTTTAAACTGCATTTAACACAAGTATTAAGTTATTTAATATCTCAATATTGTAATAACTGTATTTTGCTGATCATATGCTGTAATGCCCTCCTCAAATTTGCCAAGTGAAATAATTTACCCATTCTCTTTTAGGATTTTCTTATATGTACACACTGTACAAGATTGTGTGGGAGTATTCACCTGGTTTTTAAAGAATTTATATTACATGAGGGGATAGATTCCATGACAACAATTAAAAAAAAAGAATCCAAGATACAGTAAAGTCAGCATGGTCACATAAAATTGATAGCACAAGGAAATATAGACAATCAATCAACAAACTTCAGCATTGGTAAAGAATTTTGACAATGGAAGGTTGACAAGTATGTAAGAGAAAGGTAAGGCTATTTAAAGCTGTAGATAACTAGAGCATATTTCTTCAAATAATTTTTTTATTATAGAGAATAACAAAATCTGATTAAAATCAGTAGTTACCAAAAGCTTGGAGTTTGCCTGAGTGAAAATCATTCAACAACTGAAGGAGTCCATGTTCCATTGTTCTAACATCAGCAACATCAGTTAAAAATGTGTGCTCTTTGACTGGCCGATTCACTGACATTTTCCTACCTTGAGGGTAAATACAACTTTCATGACAGATTTGATTAAGCCAATTTTTAAGACTTAGTTTTATGGATTATCTCTAAAACTCCTACACTGTGATACAACATTCCTCATTGTTCATACCAGTTGTTCTTATGCTTTTCAGGAATGTTATTTTATTTTTTTTACACGAGAAAAATGACGGCTAAGTTTTTGGTAAATATCCTAGGGCCATTATTATAATTTATAGTGTAAATAGATAACTAAAGTGGACTGTTTATTTGCTGGTAAAGAGTTTTTGCTTGTGAAAGTTTTTCAATTTAAAAAAAAAAATATATTTTTTCATCAGTTAGAAGTTGTCATTCTGAAAGCATGTTGAATTGTTTCACAATAATTTTGTCCAACTCTGAAGCACTGGCATTAAGTCTATTTGAAAACACTGAGATAAAAAAGTAAAATTGTTTACACCCTTTAAGTAATTGGTGGGAACCAAAATAAGAATCATGTCTTTCTTTCTGTAATTTTCATCCTGAAGGTTTAACATCAATAACATTAATTATTGATACTGGTAGGGGGAATACATATAATTTACTGTGAAAATATATATAATTATAATCACAGTCAAGTCACAGGCACATGATATTTGAAATTCCAAATTACCTTGTTGCATTTTATCTTTCTGTGAACTTCTTTTAGTTTGACTATTGGCTGATGGATTCTCTCTGTGCACTGTCTCCATCTCTGTGATAGTTTATCTCAACTTTCAATAAATGAAACCATCTGTTAGAAAAGCATTTGCATTAATATAAATTCAAATTAATCACTTGATAAACATTATCAATCAGTATAATTTGTTACAAATATTACATTTTCTAAATATTTCTGTTAAATTAACAAATTCAAATGAGTGATGTGACAAATGCTGTAAGATATTTAATGAGGACATGTAAATTTCAACTAAGTCTAAATAACTGTATTATGGACTTTTTTTGTCAAATCAGTGCAGCATATTGCTTTTTCAGGACTGCTTATTGTTTTTTGTACATCAATTATCTCAAATGCTCCATCATATTTATCTTTACCTGAGTAATTGACTTAAATTACTTGAGTACATATGAGTTTAAGAAAAAGTTAGATCAAGCTGGATCTCGTGAGAATGAAGGTTATTCTAGCATCGAGCTGCCTTTCTCTGCCAAAAATTAATTCACTGAGAGATTTATTTTGAAGTTTCCTCTTGGTGAATGGTTAGAAGCTTTGGCCAGCTTTGCACAAACTTTTGTTTTACAAAAGTTACCTGTAACCACTGACTAAATACGTCAGATTGGGAAATGGCGTAGGTGGGCCATCGAGCGCGAGCTCTTAACCACTGACAGTGTGAGCTATTATAATGTTTCTGATCCTGAGAATTTTGAATGCTTTTTTTTCACTTGTTCTATGTAAGAATATCAGGTTCCCCACATTTTAGTACAATCTTGTGGTTTTATCATCGAGACCAAAAACAGACTTATAAATATTATTATATTATATTACAAAAACTGGGTTTCAGTATGGACAATGAATATGGAACTAAAAGGCTATTCAATAGTTGCATGCAGAGATGACTGAGACTTGAGTAGTAGCCTTGACTTTTGTGTATTTTGTTTAAAGTGAGGGAGAGTTGCTCAATTTGTCAGCTTCACTCTCTTGTCCTTGATTATTTGATCCAATGGGAAGACAAGGTCAAGACAACTGGAAATAGACCAGGATGCAGTAGATTACCAGCAGTGTTGGGTTTTTTTTTTTTGTGTTTCACTGTGCTATTTTTGGCTCCATGTGATAGGAGTTGATACACTTTTCATTGTGTCAATGTCATATCGCCAATGGGACTCCAGCGTTTCAGCGTTTGCCAACTCTTAGATGATTTGCTATCCTGGGTTAATGAGTACCATCCAACCTAATGTTGTTTTGCTTATCAAGGCTTTTACTTGTCTAGGCCTTTGCTGGGGATTGAACTCAAGTTCACAAGCTTGGAATCGACTCAGTTTACACAGCTTGACCACCTATCTAATAGCCCAGCTACTATAAGACACCCAAGAATAAAGATGGAGACAAAAAGCCAGTTGCCTGTTAACACTGTCTTTATTCCAAACCTTTCTTCAGTGCCTTACTTGGGACTTGGGATCTGTATAAAAGTCTTGAAAGAAAAAATTTAACCTGTGAGATGAGATTTTAAAGTGAGCAGCTTGTAAAACCAGAAGGGACCACAATAGGAACCAGGAAATATGTCAAATAGTTTGTGACATCCCAATATCAATATGTTAGATACGGGAACCAGCAACACATTAATTGATTTGGCAACCCGGGCTGTCTGTGATCAAAATGAACCTCCAGCAGGCCTCTAACTTGCTGCAATTCATTAACTATATTCCCCATGACGCCTCCCCAGTAAAAGCAGACAGAAGAAGTTAGAACTTCTAATAGAAGTAGTTTGATATGATGAGCTTCAAAAAATACATTAATTTTAAATACATTTATTACACATGACATAAACTTTCACATCATGAGTATAAGGTTTATAAGCAAACCAAAAAATGTGTCTCAAATAATAATTATGTTCTCTAACTAGTTAACTAGTCTAACTTACAAAATAAATAGCCATAATCAAATGTTTAGTTATTAGGGTTGATAAGTCAATCTGTGCACTGTGTAACACGCTCTTACGCCTACACCACCCACCCAGACTAAAATTACCAAATAATTAATAATATAGATCGGAGTCAACTCTACATTGACTACTGTCGCGACTGAGATACTCAATACAGCAAATCCAGTGACTCACTGACTGAAATTACAATTTATTTGGTTTATTTTAAACTAATTTAAATTAATTAAAATTAGTACCGGTATCCGATCTGCAAGAGTCAAGACCGTCTGGCGTCGTCTTGTAATGAGACTGATTTGTCACTAAGTCAACTCACAACTAACTTAGTCCTAATAAAGTAAAGTAAAGTGTAAGTACTGTAAGTCAGTGACTTCAGTCTCAGTTCAGTGAGTTAAGTAGAATAGTACCAATAGTAATAGAGTCAGAATAGTATTTCAAAGTATTTGCTAACTAAGTTTTAGTAGGCTGTTATCATGTTTTAAAAAGTTAAATCGTGATGTATAATAATATTAAGTCGGGTACCTGCCACCCAAATTAGCCTACTCAAATTGAAATGCTTTTAAAATTAATATATATTTTTTTTTAGTTACGGCTTGTTACGGTAATTCTATCATTTTTTAAACTTGTGTCTAATTACCGAGATTCAACCGAAATCGCTCATAACTAGTACCATTTCTCATTTAATGAGTTTGCACTTAAAAAAAAAAAAAAAAAAAAAAAAAAACTGTTCTCATTTATTTTTCACAATTTACTTATTTATTTTATTTATCCACCCGATAAGAAGTTATGGAATAAATGTGTCCTAAAATATTTTAATAAGTTTAAAAGTCGATTAAAACGTTTAATCGTTTTATAGTAGTTTAAATAAATATTTTGAAACAACATTGCTTTCTTTTAGTAATAATTAAAAAAAAACTCATGGCATTCCTATTCTTTGCAGATTAATGCAAAACTAAAATCATGTATAACAGGACATAAGACATTAGTCATAAGGATGACAAGGGTATCGCTATTTCACGGCTCGTTATTTTCAGGATTTCAAGGGGGGGGCACTATGTTTAGCTACACCACTGGATGAATTTTTAAAAATTCTGGGGATTGGAGGGGGGATGGTTTGGAGGGGGGGGGTCCGACAGATTGCAGTAATATTCAATATCAATATTTTGTATTGAGAAAAAAAATAGGTACATCAAACAAAAATATTTTAGAGTAGTCCCCCTTCTACTTTGCCTCTGAACGTCATCAATATTAACGTACAACTATTGAGGAGTCATCAGTAATTGTGTAGGGGTTGTTTTTCCGTTGTTGAAGTATAGCTGAAATCATGACCACCCCTACGGCTACAGCTAGAATTTCCTCAAAAAAGCAAACACTTGAAGACGCATATTCACCGCCTGCTAACTTTTTAGAAATTGATGTGTCTGACCCTCAAACACATGGCGTAGCTAAAAAACGGTACACAGACTACGAAGTCAGAATGAAGGTAGGCCTAGCAAGTCAGCAGGGCAAAGTCACGAAATTAATTATTTTACTGTTTTACTGAGGCAGTGGAAAGGCCTTCTAGTGTTTTAACTATTATTTATTTGTATTATCATTTTACAAAACTCCTGATCAATTATTTAGTTTTAAATATTTTGTTGGTCTGTTTTATTGAATTGTGTGGAGAACTCTTACATAAGTCCCATTGTGACAGAATGTTGGTGTTTACAATCATTTCATAATAATAATGGCATAATCATAATGAGATAATGCCAATGGTGACATGGTCTGGTTAAGTTAAAGAGTGGGTTTTTTAGTGGCATAGGTTTTACCAAGAGCTATCTCAAACAGGACTGGATTAACCATTAGGCAAACAAGGCAAGTGCCTAGGGCACCAAGCATTTGGGGGGCACCACAAGTCCTCAAGAAAAATGTGTATATTGTCCCGGTAACGTAATTGCATGGCATAAGCAAATCACAAATGTAATATTGAATCGCACATTAACCTTGGTCCCACAATCCGGGGTAAAATACCCCCCACCCAGTTTTTTCTCTCTCTTTTTTGTTATTTTTCTTCAAGGTTTTTTGGTGTTATTTTTTTACTTTTCTGCTAGTAAAAACAATTGTGAATAGGGTCAGTCAAGCTCTACAAAATGAGCACGTGAACTTGAAAACGTGTGCTGAATTGTATTCTTCACTAGCAGATCACTTGAATGAATCTAGGAATGAATTTGAAAGATTTGAAGAAGCTGCAAAAGAAATAACACCGACACCAGGTGTGGATTATAAGTCAACTTTGACCCGTAATCGTAAACGAAAGACAGAGATCATTGATGGTGATGCCCCTGAGACAAATTTCGTTTATCTGCTTTTTACACAATTGTTGACAAACTTGAGACAGAGATGAGTAATGTGAAGGACTAATAAATGCTTATCCTGAATATGAACAATAATTTATATACTGAACTACAACAGTTCCACTCATATATTCGCCACAAGTTTCGTTCATCAAAATCTGAGAACAACACGTTCAGTCATGCAGAACTCTACAAAGTAATAGTTAGAGACAACATCGAGTGTGCTTTTTCAAATGTAGAAATTGCCTTGCGCATATTTTTAACATTAATGGTTACGAAATGTTCAACTGAGTGCTCTTTTTCTCAGTTGAAACATACAAAAAATCCAAGTAGATCGACAATGAAACAAGGAAGGCTTGATTCCTTATCTTTGCTGATGATTGAGGCAGACTTGTTGCGCAAAATTAACTTTGATGATGTACTCAAAAACTTTGCCAGACATAAATCTAGAAAAAAGAACTTTAAAATGTAAATGTGTGCTCTCTCTGACTTTCTTATCTATCAAATAGGTTACAGTATTTACAGTATTTTTGTCTACTATTACAAAATTAATTAACTAAATTAATTAACTATTAATTTTAATACAGAAATACCTTATTGTAGGTTTTATATGAGTTATAGCAGTACAAACATATGTGTTTACATTTTCACAACTGGTTTCACATACCAGCAGTCAGTGAAGGATCGGGGGGCCCGGGGCAGTAGGGGGCACCAAGATGGCTTAATCCAGCCCTGATCTCTAAGCCCTTTGATATCAGTTTGGGAAATCCCAACCCTGGACTTGGCATGAAAAGACCTATAGTTGGACCTAAATGATGTGTAAAGATAACGTTCCTGTTCATAACTGAGCATTATTTGCATCATAAACTAAATTTGATGATCGATAAAGAAGAAAGTTAATTGAAATATATTGCAATAATGTTTCATTGCTTTTTATTGAAATTGAACTTAAAAGGCTCAAAAGAAATAAGAAGAAACTCAACCTAGATGAATACTGGTGAAAAAAAACTACATTTCAGTATCATTACACATACTTAAAGTGCTGGGTTTTAATTGGTTGAAAAAAGAACTACACTTATGCTATTCAGCTATTAATTTCTATCATGTTGCCATTTCACTGGACTTTACCATAATTTTCTCAGCAAATCACCCTCCGCAGAACCCCTCCACTTTCAAGGCAACATAAAAATTGAGAAAAGAACTTGTATCAAATAAACATAACGCTAAACTAAAAATCAATCTTTTGAATACAAAACTACGGCTGTTAGTTGACCTGGGTAACCTCCTCGACCTATATAGAGTGGAAGACATTGCCATCCTTCTAACCCAAGCCCAAAGGCAAAGGTCTACCTAAACTATCTTTACTTAAGGCTGTTTACTTTTCATTGCAAAATACATGTACCAACGTGCCAATTTATTATCACAGGCCATCACCACCTCTTTCTGTATATCTGAGGAGTAAATGCGAAGGCAACAAGACTAGCAGCTACATAAACATAAATAAAAGTAGTGCTCAAGGATGTTGTGGCATCCCAACTGTTCAATCATAATCCGGGGTGGTAAACTGAAAACACTGAAGTGTCTGAAGCCAGCAATTGAAAAATCCAAAAGCCAAATAGGGTTGCAGAAAAATTTTTTGAGGTTCCTAAAAAATGTTATTAAATTTTCAGACTTAATTAGTGTCTTTAAAAAGTTTTAATAATCTATCTATTTGTTTTAGATGAGGCTTTTTTTCCTGTTAACTTTAAAAAAATTAATAATGCAATGAAGTAGGGTTTTAGGACAGAAAATATATTTTATTTCTTTATGCAGCTGAGGGAAAGAGTTTGCCCTGTTTGACCTAATTTTAACGGTTGAGATCTACTTTAGATGACTTTTATTTAAGTTGTTCTAGTTAAAAAATTATTGTCTATGCAAGAATATTTATCTATGTGCTGAAAATAAATAAGCGCAATGTAATAAAAAAACAAACATTTCCATTTATTTCGATTAATAAAAAAAATTGTATCTTACTGGTAACATTACTTTTTATAATTATTTAATGCTTCCTGTGAATAAAGGTTAAACTGATTCACTAATACGTCTTAATTGTTTTAAATTATGTGAATTTATTTCTGTGCCCCAGACAAATCTACCAGTTTTTAAGCTCAAGGAATCAAGTGTACGTAGACGCTACAGTGATTTTGAATGGTTAAGAAATGAATTAGAACGTGACAGTAAAGTAAGTATGAACTAATTACAGGAAGATTTTAATTTATGAAATTGACTCAATAGTTTATATTGTATTTCAAAAAAACAAAAAAACTTTTTGTCTCTCTTAAAAGAAAAGCTGATTTAAATTTATTGAGAAAATTAACATATTGTTGTTTTCAAGAAAAATATATAACTCGTATTTGCATTATTGAACATTTTTTAAGAAACCTTTTTTTTTTAATAGATTATCCTTGAACTTCAATGTTTACATTTTAGATTGTTGTCCCACCTTTACCTGGTAAGGCTCTCAAACGACAGTTACCTTTTCGTGGAGACGATGGGATTTTCGAAGATGAATTTATAGAGGAAAGGAGAAAAGGACTTGAGCAGTTTATCAACAAGTAAGTTATAAATTCAAGCATATTAGCTTTTAAATAAAATTTATTTGATTACTTTGTTTGTGTAGATTAGTTTTTGGATAATTTTTAAAAGAAAATCGCTAGTAAATTGATTGTACTATATACATGCCTTGAATTTTTTTATTCCCCAGAGTGGCTGGACATCCACTTGCACAAAATGAAAAGTGTTTACACATGTTTCTTCAGGAGCCTGTCATAGATAAAAACTATGTTCCTGGAAAAATTAGAACTACATGAGGAATTAGAAGAGTTTAATAAAATCTATCACTCCATCTTCTATTTTGTCAAATTCAGTGTTATCACTGCTTAACTTTTGTAAAATAAATTGTGAGAATAAAAAAGAATGGACTTAGCAGGTTTGACTTTTATCAATGTAAATAAACTAATGCCATTGAAATTATTAATTAGATTTGCAAGAAAAAGACAGGATCCTTTTTAGTGAATGCTTAAATGTGAGGAAATATTTAGGGAACATGCATTTCTATACAAAATTATTTCTTAGCCTGATTTTTGTAAAATTAAATGGATTCTTTAATTAATTTTGTCCTTTAAATTTAAAGGGTAATCTTTCCATAAAAAAAATAGTCTTCAATTTTATCTTTCTTGTTTTCAATCATTTAAATTCTGCTATTTTTAATACATTAATTTTTTTATTTATACAACAAATAGTTGAATATTACATTTGTATGAAAAAAATGTATGATTTGCTGAACAGCTTATTTTAATTAATTTAATTCAATAAAGTTTTTTGGCATCATTTCTTTTCCTAAATTTGTAGCATGCACCCTTATCATTGGCACAATCATTATTGAGCACCAAAAACAAGTTCATTACAGTCTGTAGTATTAAGCTAGAAATATATTTTCTCAGACAGTATGACACATAGTTATATATTTTTTGTGACTATCTCTGTTATCAATTTATGGAGGATGAATAATTTTAAAGATAGAACTTAGTTGATTATTTGAAGAGATCGAGCACTGAATGGCTCAGCACAAAATAAACACAGTTTTTGATTGTACTGCCATCATGCTAATAATACACAGAGCTGCAAACAAATCATAATTTAGGTAATGAAATTCTCAATAACAGGGAAAGGGTTGACAATTTATGCCCAGTGTGTTTTTAGCATGCTCATTTTAACATGAGAATTTTGTCTTTGAATTTAACATTTTTAACGGTGGGGGGAAGAATTGTAGTCATTCCTTATTTATTATATACCAACAAAAAAATCTTCCAGGGTCCATTGGGTGGGCTCCAGGGTTGTATCCTAAAATTTGTTAAGGCCCATATATAATGACAAAATATTACTTGTATGTGTATGTGTAAATTTAATTTAACCAAATATATTTACATTTTTGTAAACGTGTCAAGATTTTGAGATTCATTATATGCCATGTAAGATATCTTTACCAATACATTTGTAATAAGCCTGTGAATTCATTTTTAATGGGATTTTATTTACCATGATGTTGCTGTTGAATGTGTATTTGTTATTAGCTCTTTTATGTTTTGTTTTCTTTGTTTAAAATATGTGTTATTCAAACAGTTTTTGAACCCTATTTTGTCCCTTTTGTGCATGAAGTACATTTTAATCATTAAAAAAATTTTCAGTTAGCATATTTTATTTTCTGTGTGTTAAATTTTGACCAAGTTATGAACTTCATGGTGTATTTGTTTAACTAGGTAATAGTTTTAATTTTAAACTAAAAGTTACCCGGTAGTGCTTATTGCCAGGATTGAATTCAATTTAAAAAAATAAGTGAAGGTATTAAATTCAAATAATTGTCATAAAAATAAAGCAAACATGATAAAAAAAAACATACATATTACATCTAGACTATGTCTATTGTTTGTGCTACAACTTTTTCTAAATTGAATTTCAAATGAAATAAGAAACAAAAACTTTTTGACTGCATATCTACACCCTTTGAATATTTTCAGTTTTTTAAAAAAATAGCTAAAACAATTAACAATGGCAAAAACGTATCACAGTTTATTACTTAAAATTTATGAAACTATTTGTGTTTATCTTGTATAAACCTACTTGATGCATTTAGTTTTAAAATTTTAATACAGTGGAATATCTTGTGTGTTCCAATAATTAATTTTGTCTGAGTAGTAGGCATACACTGTTCTTTAAAATTATTAAATTATCTTATAAATATTTGTTGTAGCATTGGTTTGAGCAAGATCATTATCAGAGTGACAATTTTATCTCATGTTCTGATATAGCTAGAAATGTCAGTGTCTATTATTTTATTTTTTAAAATGGAAGAATCCAATAATCATTAAGTCAGATAAAGGGTTTCAATCCAGAAAAAGCCCTGATGTCCAAACTGTGTACTCAGTTCAAGTGTTAAGTGTGCAGATAAATATCTTATTAACAGTGCAAGTCTTTACTCCTGAAGAAATAACCAACATGCATTCATGTGTGGTGAAAATGTTAAATTTTAGTTTGCCCTTGTTTAAAAATCCTGCTGTTCTATGTGAATTTGTGAAAAATTCATTTTTTGAGGATGCTTTGCAGAGTCTAATAAGTTAATATAGTGGGACCCCACTAAAACATTAATTCAAATACAACAGTCATGGCATGAGTCCCATAATTTGTTATATTCATTTGTGCATGATTTTTTTTTCCAAAGAACTGTTAGTGAAAAAAGAAGTATACCAATATCAAATTAATTATATTTTTAAAGATGGCAGCCTTTAACAGCTGATTTTTCTTGTTCTTTTAGCATTTGGTGCAGGTGATTTGAAAGATTTACTGTGACAGATATTTTCCTTAATTTTGAAACAAAGTGAAATTATAAATTTACTGAAAACATGTCCCACCCACCATGATAGACAATGATGAAGTTAGTGTTTACAAAATAGCACCTAACTTAAATTAATATTTTTTTTTTATCAATAAATTATATTTTGGATATGTTACATAGGGTATTTTTATTGTATAATAAAATAACTATATATTTATTTTCCCAAAGGTACTAAGAGTATTCAATGTCATTTTCACCTACTCCTTAAAGATGTTTTATCAATACTATTTATTTCAAACATTATCTATCAACTGACCGCTTTCTTTCTAAATCTAATAAAACTACACTGTCTACTAAACATTTTTTCTAGAAATTCAAATATTTGATCCTTGTTTTTACACGTATTTCTCTTTTCCGGTGTGTCCCTCACTGTTTTCATCTTGTTACATGTTTTGTTCCATTAAAATCATTATCTTTGTTTTTTTTTTTAAAACAACTGTTTTTCATACAAATTATATTAATGTAAAACTCAAATCATAATGAACTCAGATTAAAGAAACTATCTTGTTTAGTTTTATTTCAGTGGCGAAATTGATACATCTTGATTCCTTTATGAAGACCCAAGATTAACTGAGAGGAAACAAAATATTTCAAATTTGTTTACTCTATTACTACCGTACCTACATATAATAGGAAAATTGAGAAAGTTATTATCCGCATTAAAAAAGTATATAAATGTGTGCAAATCTATTAGATAATTTGAATTAATAAGTAAATATTTGTGTAAACTATTTCAGAATTATGTCATTGGATGCTTCACAATTTCTAAAATGTATGTGCAGTATAAAACTGAAATGATTTCTAAACATAACATATTGAACTTGGTTAAATGGCTTTCCAAGGATCATGTCTGCCACTGAGTTGGAGAAGATTTGTGAAATGTGAGACAATGATATTGCAACATTATATAAATAAAAATCGATGCTTTATACATCTGGAAATTCTGTAATGAATTGTTTAAAACTTTTCAAAACCATTCTTTTTAAGTGGTTTTGTAAATCTTTATTAATTTGAATGACCCACATTTTTAGTCAACAACTTAATCTATATTAAAACGAACAAACCATTATTTTTTTTCTTCCTTAAATTTTAGTTTCTGAGAGCGAGTGAGGTACAGGTAGTGTTCATTGTTGTAATTAAGTGTGGATGTGAAGAAAAGTACCATATTAGAAATTTAGACCAGAGTTGAATAATATACTGACAATTTCTACATTCTACACCAGAACAAGTTTAAGATAATTTTTAATCATAATATTAAAATAATTAAGAGCAAAGTTTTATCTTACTTTGAAATTCTACTACCTACTGCAAAATTATTTTGTCCTTTGTTTTTACCAATATTTTGTTAATAATTGACGATTTAGACCAAATAAAATCATGTTGATTATCATGATGTTCATCTACATTTCATTGACAGCCTCAACAGTGGAATAATGGTGTTGGATGAATTCAGAAAGTGTATATTATATTTTAATATTTTAATAGGATAACATGCCCCCTTACTCTATTCAATTTCATTTGTACTTATTTTTTTTTAAATGAAGTAAATATTTTTTATAAAACTGACCTTAAAAATACTAATTCATCAATGTAAATACAAGTAATCTAAAATATTTTTTATAGTGCACTTCAAATTAAGGATTTCAAATCATTAAGCTCAAATTATAAGGGAAAAAGAACAGTTTTATTAGCTATTGCATTTGAAGAAAAAATAATTGATATTAGATTTTATATTTATTAGTATGGTAACATTGACTAGCAAGAAATTAGCAACATTTAAATAGGACATACTATAAAATCTAGTTACAAGAATATATAGCAGTTTATTATAATGTTAACATGATTACATCATATTTTTTTTTTATTATGAATAGAAAAACAAAGCATCATAATTCACAGCCTCTGGTTAGCTTCTTGGATATATTAACTCACTAAATACAACTTAATCAAAATTTAAATCCATATCAATAAATATATGCTGATATGAGAATTCTGTCAAAAGGTTGTAACTAAGTATTGCCAAAAAGTAATTTGTTTATAAATGATTTGCACATCAATGCTGCAGGTCTTGAGAAAGAAACAGACTCTATTATTTAATGCTAATTATGATTTTAGCGAATTTAATACCATATATTTTATTTGGTGAGCTTATTGTAAATAAATATAAAGTAAATTAGAAGTCTAGTTCAATTATTACATGCTTTACATTTTACTTTTTTAACCCATAGGCATTTCAGTAATCGCTGGATAGTAACCTGTAGCATAGTGATATAACTGGCGCTCTATGTCGCCCAGCAAGGCACTTGCACCAAAACGGAACAACTTGTTGGAAGTGTATTCATCCCCAAGCTCCTCTTTCATCATGGACAGCCATACACATGCATCTTTGGCAGTGCGAATTCCACCAGCTGGCTTGAATCCAACCTGATTAAAAGATATAATAACTAGTTAAAAGTTTTCAGCCACATCATTATTAAACTAACATTTCATTAACTTGGTTGAAATTTATTAAATAGTTCAAATAAATTATATATATTAAATACATGAAGAGAATGTAACAACCTTCACTCCTGTGAGACGGTAATAATCACGGATGGCTCTAATCATAACCAGTGCCACAATAAATGTTGCATTAACACCCTCCTTGCCTGTGGAAGTTTTGATGAAGTCAGCTCCTGTGTAAAGCAATTCAAAAAGGAAGAGAATAATTGAAGAGATTGTATTATTAACTATTATTAGATATAAAGAGACATGTCTGATTTTTAAAACAGTAAACAAACAACAACAAAAAAAAAAAAAAAGATAAATAAGTACTGTAATATAAGATAAGTAATGTCATAAATATATCATTTGAAAAAAAAAAGGAAGAGAATAATTGAAGAGATTGTATTATTAAATATTATTAGAAAAAAAGAGACATGGCTGATTTTTAAAACAGTAAACAAACAACAAAAAAAAAAAAAAAAAAGATAAATAAGTACTGTAATATAAGATCAGTAATGTCATAAATATATCATTGGAAAAGTGGGAAAGATTGATTTTCAGAAAAATATGAGAAGAAAAAAAGATAACTCAGAAAATGTTAACATTTGTGATGTAGCATTCATGTGTACACCTGACATGTACTTGGCTACCGATAAAAGTGTGGAAAAACATTAATATGCTAGTGACTACAGGCAACATTTAAACACACCGTCCCTTACCTGCCATCATACATACCATGCTGGCTTTATATATGTTGCGTAAAGATCCCAGCTCACCAGTGGCAAGTATAGTTTTCATGTGGGCTGCTCCACAAGCATCTTTCATTTGTTTTACTTCATCATATACACCTGTGACAAAACAGGATAATTAATTTCACATTTAATAAGAAACAATAAAGAAGAAATAAGATGATTCAAAATCATAAAAATGCAATACATCTTCACATAAAATTATTGAAATATAAATCTCAATCCAATTTAATTTCATTTACAGATTATCATTAATAAAACTTGAAAAAATTAAGAAAAAAAATCCACATTTTGGTGAATATGTAGCATACAAAAGTACTACTGGTAGTACCTGGTATCAGTAAACTTCTTTTAATAAGCTAAATATGAGTTGGTGGTTGTCCACGCTAAAACACTATAGATATTTAAAGAATATGAACAGAAAAAAAGTAAACATTAAAGAAAAATAATGCCCACCTTTCCAATCGCCTGTAAGAGCATAAGTTCTGTTGATTACAATATCTATCTCTGTGGCACCATCTGCTACAGCTGATCTGATTTCCGCTAGCCTTGATTTCAATGGCGTTTGCCCACATGGAAAGCCAGTAGCAACTTATAACAAATATCAAATGTTAGGAAGTCAATTTAAAACATGTCCTTTGATGTTGCCTATAGTAGGAAAGTAAATTTAATGCCAACATGCCATGCAAAAATCTCATTTGTGACTTTAGTTAGTTTAATCCATGTGTGCACTTTATCAATGTCCTCTTTCCTTTAATTTAGTATTTTGCACACATTTAAGGTATCTAACCTTTGAAATTATTTGCTATTATGACATAAAATAATAAAAGGTAGCCAATGCCTCCCTTTTACCTGAAGCTATTGGAAAATTTGGATATCCTGATCTAACAAGTGCCTCCTTGGCAGCTTTCACCTGATTGGGGTAAACACAGACAGCACCAGTGGATATACCTGAAAGCAAAGTATTTTCTAAGAGCTTTTTTCTCCACCACCCATTTTTCTATCATCCATTTTGTATTTCATACACCATCTTTATTCAAACCTACAGATATAAAGAGCACAAGGATTTTAAATAACAAAGAAAAAATAATTTATAGCCTTTCCCTTTCATCCAAGTTTTTTTTTTTTTTGAGGTATGATACAGAGGCCATCATACCACTCTACCTATCTTTTTTTTCTTCTCGATAACAAAGCTAAGCATCATCATACCTGCCCCATTAATGTGAAGCAATTTGAGCAGATCTTGGCTTAAAGGATGAGCTGCCTTAAAACACAGACGGGACACATTCGCTGGTGTGTCATCTCCAGCTAGTGTAGTCAAATCTATACAGGTGACAGCACGCAGTTCCCAAGCAGCCTTGTCATAGAGATTTTTTTTTAAATTTCAAATATTTGTTCCCCTCAGATTTAATTATATTTAAATGTGTAAAATAAAGTCCATTACCCATTGTAACAAATAAAAGTAAAGAAATCTCAGAAATGTCTTACCATTACAATTTAATTAAGATCAATGACGTCAATGTCAATGATGTAAATAAACAACTAGTTTACTGCCATAGTAGTATTATTAGTAGGCTGCTCATATCACATTTTTTAAAAATCAGAAATTGTATTCCCCCATACTGGTATTATATTATAATTATATCCATGCCATAGGGCCATAGACTCATTGTAACTAAACACAAGCAAGGCATTAACATTTTCATTAATGTATTATGCCTCCTAAAATGTTGTGCTTACCTGCTGCTGTTTCTTAACTGCTCGCCGACTTCCTAGATCAGAAGCTCTTCTAGCAACAGCAGAAAGATTAATTTTTACATCTTTAAAGAGAGATTCATCTGAACCAAATGAAAGAACAAATGAAATTAGTTAATATTAATATGCTATATTTAATATTTATATTTCATCTTAATCTTAGTAAGCAGTTAGTAAGTAAGGCCTAGTCTATATGCCGGCTACCTATATGCCTAGAGACTCGCTTAAAAAACATTTTTTTAATTCATTTTTTTACAAATGAAAATCTTACCGAATTCCCGTCCTTGGTTTCGATGGTCTTCCATAATTGGTACAAAGATCGAAGAAACAAAACAAAACGTAAAACTTTTTAAAAATTTTGTGGCTAGACTGACGCTTGTGGAAGCAATTTAGTTGTACGTTCTACATAGACTATGTTTCAATACACTATAAAATAATGAATTCTTAAAAACACACAATTAGTAAAACTGGGAAATAAAACGACCTAAAGCGTATAATAAAAATATATAAGTATGTGGCTAAAAATAATTTCAATATTTTTAAATTAAAATTTAATATGCTAAAAAGTATTTGCAGTATACATAAATGACCCACCCCCCCCCCCCCCACTTCGATTTATTTCCGTGTAAATAGTACTGAAGACAGAGAAAAAAACTGATCGTAAAAATACGATGTTTGAATTTTGTTGTTGTTCAATCGTAAAAAAAAAATTGAATAATAAAGCATATTTTTATGAATCATTATTTAAGAAAAAATAAACAATGCTTAAATATTTTTTTTTAATTACATTAAAAGCTATAAAACTAAATTCTAAACTATATTAGGATTAGCTTTGCTTCTTGAGCATATGCATCCATGGCAACGCTGGTATTTATACATTACGTTAGGACAGTGTGGTGTTCTGAAAATTATAAATATTTTATATTCCTGAGCAAATACAATGCATAAAACCTAGTAAAAATGACAGATGGAACGCAAGGATTGTTGGCTAACGCCATGAAAGGGAGATTTTCTTCCATAAAAGATTCTTTGTCGGAAGATGGTAAGTTTAATTTAAGTCAGTCAACAATTAAATTTAAATGAACAATGTTATCAATTAAATCAATATAATAATATTATGTTATATAATATTTAATATGTAGTTATGTGTACTGATTTGAGCCATCTATGTCAATGAGCAATTACTTCAATCAGGGGCAGTATCACTATCAGTATCTCTATCATCAATAATAATATCACAGACTAATCACTTATATCACTAATACTATTATTTCTCAGTTTACTGGCTAACTCAGCTAGTACTAGCCAAGTATCAAGTAGGCATAAGATGCCATATGTAAATAAACTTTTGAATGAACCAAAGTGTAGATTTGGCTATATAATGCCATAATTATTGCCAATATTATTGTTTCCACTAGATCTGTCACATGTGTGGGAAAATGTTTCCAATTATGTGGAGAAACAAATGTCTCAGCACAAGGTATGCAGTAAGATAATATTCTTTTATTGATAAAAACAAATGGTAATTTTAGTGTTTACTTTGAAGTACAGATTTATCTTTTCAGTATGTTTCATAAAAACACTCACAATGAAAAATAATAATACAATGAACAATTTTAAATGAGTACAATTTTAATATAAGACAATTTTAAAGCAGGGATCACCAAACTTTTTTCACCGCGGGCGGGATAGTGGACAAAATGACGAGTGCGGGCCACAACAATCATTCTGTACAATACTTGCAAGCGAGAGAGAAAGCTCTGGGAAAAATTACAAAAAACTAAGTTTAGTATTTCATGTTAAACATGTATTCAGAATCAATTTCTTCAAGAAAAGCCTGGAACTGACTGTGATTGAGTGCATGTCCCCAAATGAAGTTCATAGCTGAAACAACTTGTTTCAGTACACAAGAAACATCTAAGTCTTTCCCATAGAGTGCTTGCTGATATATGATGCAGTGTATGAACAGCGCGCCCGGAATTTGCAAAGCTCTCAACTTAGTCCTGATCTGCCCCTCCAGACCTCTCCTCACCCAAGCGATGTTTTTCCTCCACCAACTGTAACACCTCGAAGCTTATTCCACTGAAGGTTATAGTGTGCAAAAATTATTTTCCAGTTGTCATTCCATGCATGCTGCAAACGGATGCCAACTCTTCTGTTACCTGAAAGTCCAAAATGACACCAAAAATAAACACAAGAATTTGTGATGTACTCAAGAGATTGGTAGGCTCATCTGTTTCCAGAAAATCACACAGCAAGTTCTACCTTTCTCTCATATCTGTAGAGCTACGTTCTCTCCAAGTTCTTCTGTTCTCGACACAACTGAACTTGCCGAAAGGCTGATTATTCCAACCCTGGTGAATACGATTTTTAATCCTACCATATGTTTCAAACTCTTCACTTCCTTTCACCCATTTACAGTTTTGGTAGTTATTTGACTATAATATATTAGCCAGAATAAGCTTAATTGATACTGATTCTTATTTTATTATTTTTTAAACCAGCGTTTCCTAAAATAAACAACCTCAAGTTACTTGGTAGGTTTTTCAAATGATGTCATCATTTGTTAATTATTTCTTATAGAAATACATTTTGTTTTATGTGGATCTGAATTCGATCTAAACATAATATTTGAATTGTATTAGGTCTCATGTCCCAAATGTTTAATCAAGCAAATTCATGTACCATCGGCGGGCCGGTGGGACTGACATTGCGGACCGGGTGACCCCTGTTTTAAAATAATTTTTTAAACACATTGTGTCCTGAAATTTTTTTTTGTTGACATAACCCATTAAATATGCACTACACTGATAATAAATTGATTTAAAACATGTAAATGGTGTTTTAATGCAAAAGTGGATAGATGGATGTATTTTGTTGGTTTTTTTGGGGTGGAAGTAATTGGGGAGCTTTGTGATGTCATACCTGAGGGTGGTCTTGGGGTAGGAAAAAATAAAAGTGACACACATGACAACACCTCTCCAGTTTGGAGGCAGCGGCTGCCCAGATGCTGCCACATCTATAGCATTTCTAGATACCTCTGAAATATGGTCTTTCCTACCTAAGTGTGTCTAAATGGGTTCCTTCACAAAGTACTTCTCATTGTGATGTACTGTCACTCCCTGTTTTTAGCAGAGACCCTTCAGGTGTGATCAAATGTCCAGTGGGCTAACTGGACCCTTAGGAGGAGGCTGACCACCCTCCAAGAGCAAAGCATAAAATCTGTCATTGTAAACTAATTCATCCCATACTCACATTTGAGTAGGTTTTTCTTTTAATCTTTATTCTCCTTCTTTCAATCCTCCTACTGTGGTTGACCCAGAATGTGGATCCTATTGGATGCATACCATTGACCAGTCATGATGTAGAACATACACAAATACTATTGGGGGCAAGGTACTGGTGTACCATGATGTCAGTGCTCTGTTAAGTACTAAAATGGTCTAAACCAACAATGAAAGTTTGATTGCCTGGAGACAGTAGTGGCAGGGAATGGGCAAGTTGTGAATTCCTGCCGGAACGACAGGACTGAGGGATGACTCATTCACTGAAGACTTCTGCCTAGCAAACACAGACTCTTAGTGCGTGGTTGCCATGTGGAGACAATGGGTATGCAGCTTCTGGATCAGCGTGGGAAGGAAAGCCTTTACGAAACCAGTAAAACCATACTGATGAAGAAAAAAGAAATATATCCAAGCTTGGGCTTCACCTTGTCTATCAAGGCCCCAATTGATTGGCAGCACCTAGGATCAGTTTCGAAAAATACACTTTTAGGACAAACACAAATTTAAATATGCTGCAAAGCAACATCTGCAGGATATGAAACAAGAAATTAGAGATCTCCCACCTACTGCACATGAAAAAAGTATATATAGTACTACTAAAAGAAACCTTACACTTCAACACGGACCCACACACCACAGTGTATACTGATTACACTTGAAAGTGCCATGACTGTAGTCGCATCATCACCTACACAAGAAATGACATCCATGGCGAGGTTTAGAAAATACAGTTTTTAACACATACAACCCCCACCCCCCAAAATAATAATAATAACCATGCTGAAATGGCCACTGGATCTGAATGATGATGATGATGAGGATGTGTGTTGAGTTGGGGGTGGGTAAAAATCTGAAAACTTTACAAGACATCAAAAATGGATGACCTGTTTATGCAAAAAGGTCATCATACAAAGGGGCCTTCCATTAATAATATTGTACAATTTCAGTGCATTTTTATCTCTCTCCACCCCAAATTTGTAACAATGTAACACAAAGTAGAAACTTTTATTTTTTTAAACATAGGCTTTTTCATTCATTACATACACATTGAATAGTTTAATGCAGTAATATTTCCAAGAAATTATTATTTTGTAATTATTTTTAGTAATTACTTGTAATATTTTGACACAATTTTTTTTTTTCATATCCATATCCAGGGTGTACAGATTCCTGGCCTAGGGATTTTTTCTATTTCTCAAAATAAACTTGAGGTGGGCAACAACAAATTTGTTATTACGCAAAGACCAGTTTTCAACATTTCAGAGAAATTTGCACAAACACATGGGCTGCAATTTCAAAAATACCATGTACCAGGTAAGATTTATTTCTATTGGTTTATTATAACTAAGCAATTGAATTGGGATAAAATATCTCTTGCTAAAATAAAGGAGTTTTGTTTATTCTTTTCAAATTTTATAGAGAAATTTCTTTGCAGCCACATTTGGAATTGTGCATAAACAATTAGCTAGCATGCCTTTACCTTTTCGCTTTATTATGTTTAAAGCTGCTTAACCTTTTATGACCAAAATATGCATTGTAACTGTTAAGGCTCTCATAATTAACTGGCATAAAAATGTTCCAGTTCATGTGACTTTTTGTTAAACCTCATTTAAATAAATGATGTCACTATAGCCTTATATCTTTCATCCACCACAAATCCCACAACTCACGTCTTTATCAAGACTCTGAAACTGCTTTAAAGTCAATTATTTAGTGCTTGATTTAGTTTAATAACTCATCTGCCCCTTTTTCTTGTCCACACACAATATCTCTGGATTAAATCAAATCTATTGAATGATAATTTCTTTAATACAGGATCTATTCCAGTACTACCACTCAACTTCTCATCCATATCTTTTGAAAGCCCATTTGATCGAGACACAGTAGAAAGATGTGTAAAGGAAATTGTTAGTTCAGTATCCCGTGCCCTGGCAGCCAAACGTAATATTGAGCTTTGTTTTAATGGAATAGGCCGACTAACCATAAGAGACAGCAGAGTAAAAATGAAGTTTTATAAGGAATTTGTAAATGAATTGGACTCCTCTGGAAAGCAAGTTGATTCCATGATGAATGTAAGTATTTTTTGTTTAAAATATTTTTTGCCATGATATAAAAATCCATAACACAAGTACATTGGTTGTCATGGGAGACATGATGTTAGACCGTGTCTTAATGTTCAGCATCAGGCTAAAAGTATGAAGTTTAAGATATTGTTATCTTTACTTCGTTTTTATTTCATACTTTTCATAATTCAGCGACCAGGAACAGTAGACTCTGTGATGTCAGATCGAATGACAACTAGACCTCATTCAAGCAACACACTCATATTACCAAGGTACATGTGTTTTCATGTTATAATTATTACATTTTTAGTAATCCTTTTAATCCCAATAATTTCCAGTTTTCATTGCACTGGATATTTTTGCTAATTGATGTAGAATATTTTAAAAAATTAAAAAAATCAGACTCATTCCAAAATTTTACCTGCAATTACTATGCATAACAATGAATTATTTACTTTAAACCCTCCAGTTAAATAAATAAATGTTTTTTTATTTATTATGAAGTTTATTTATCTTTTACAGCGTCTTATCAACTCAACAAGTTCATTTGAGATATTTAAAATAGATGTTTGATTTGTTTTTTTTTTTAAATAGTACATTACTTTAATGTAAAAAATGTCTAAAATTTATATACCCTTCTTCAGAATAAATTCTGGTCATGATAGATCTGGTCCTGGACACCTTAATTGCTTATCACCTGTTGTGGAAGAAGAGTCCGCTATACAGCCTGATGGTGGGGCTTATTACGAAAGTCATTATTATCCAGACCAAGACAGTCCCACGGAAGGGGCAATGCCAGCTGTAAGATTTGCAGATCCTGCAGCAACCCATGTAGGCATGGAGGAAACAGATGGTGATTTTGCCACAGAAAATGCTATTGAAAATATAATGAGAGGAGAAAATGGGCTGGATGTCAACACACAGCCAAGTTGTTTCCCTCAGCCCTATGAACAAGCTAATGTTGTAGAAGGTCAGTTATGCCATAGAATTGTTAAATAGGCTTCAGTTTTATGATTATTTTCCTGGTTAAAGCTAGTTAAAATTCTAATATATAAATAATCAGTTTCCTTTTAATGAATTATTGGACAAAGCTACTAAACATTGTTCATTTAGATTTTACAAACAGATGTGCTGGAAGCTTATACAAGTTTGTTATTCTTTTAATTTCATAATAGTTTATTTGCTATTAAAATGTGTTACCTTAAGACAGTGGTTCTCAACCTTTCTAGTGCCGCGACCCCTTAATACAGTTTCTCGTGTCATGGCGACCCCCCAGCCACACAATTATTTTCTATGCTACTTCATAGCTGTAAGGATATATGTTTTCAGATGGTCTTAGGCGACCCCTGGAAAAGGGTCCCGCGACCCCCAAAGGGGTCGCAACCCACAGGTTGAGAACCGCTGCCTTAAGAGATGGACAAGATCTTGTCATGTCTTTTATTTCAAATGTTAATTCTGAGCTTCTGTCGCTTTATTTGAATTACTAGCAATTGTTGAGAAAATAGTCATAATCTTAAGCCAGACCGGCTTCAAGGATGTCTTTTTGACTATGCTCTTTGGATTATCATAGGTTTATTGGCAGTAATATGCATTTGGCAACATGAAAGCTGCTGGAGAAGCTGGAAAGTTGCTGGAGTTGAACATTAGTTTTAAGTTTTCCTGTCTCCTGGCCTTGTTTCTTTTTTTGTCTTGTCTGCTGAAGAACAATTTCAATCAAAGCGTTACCTTTTCATTGTGCCGTTCTTTCTCTTCAAGCTTCAACATACCTTGTTAAATTATTTTCTTGTGTCTTAGCCATTCTGCCCCCATCCCTAATAGCTTAGATGTTATCAAATAAATAACCTATTATGGCAGAGCAAATTGTCACCATACAATAACATAAAAAACTTGATTTGTATTTTTTTTAATCTGGGAAACACTGTAAAGAGGGAGAAAATTATTTTGATTCCTTATCACAAGAAAACCAGTGGGTTTTTTTGTTGTTTTTTTTAAATACCTCATGGTCATCCTCTCTATAACTTGGCTGCTACTGTATTTGATACAATTGTTTGTGAAGTAAGACCTGGGACATGAATTTTATTGCTAACACCCAGTGGTAAAGTCAAGGTAGGGAGCATTTTGTCCCTTGCATCCATAATGTCCCTACAGTCAGTATATGGTATCCCCAGGGCTTGTTGTTTTTTTTATATATCTGCCACAAGCTTGCAGAATGTCTCCTCTATTTCTTGATGAGATTGTTGCTAGGCTACTTGAGTGCTCCCACATCATTCAATTTGAATGAACTTATCACAATGGAAGAAGTGGAGAACTAATTGATTTATTTCAAATAGTGTCCAGCTTTTTAAAACCAACCAGTCTTAAAAAAAACAAAAAACATTCTCATACCAATTCAGGTTTGGTTCACTGATACAGAGCTCCCTTATCAGCATAGTGGCTGTGAGGCTAGTATGAAACAATGAGATTATAAATAAGTTAGCATCATTGACAACATTAACCTGACAACTGCCTAGCAACACCCTAGATAAAAGACTTGACAATTGAGGAGGTCTTGAAGGGGAATACTAGAATAGTGGCTAGAACAAACTTAGGAGAAGTCACTTGACTTTGGCTTTGATACAACATTTTATTTTCTATATATTGAAAACGTGTAATTGAATATAAGACATCCTTCAGTCATTATTTGTAAAGACAGTCAATATGTGGTACTGTATGACCGAGGACTTAACTACTGCAACCAGGAGACTAAGAAATGGTAACAATAATTTAACCATAACATTTGCTTGTATTAGGCTATAATGAATCTGTTTTCCTTTTAATTTTATATTTTATTTAATATTTTTTCCCTTGTAATTTAGCAGAGCCAAAAGTAGCAGGGGGAAGCAGGTGTTCATCAAGGATGGCTTTACCTTTGGCTAAAGCTACTGGCGTCAATTTGATGGAGGATCTAGCAATTCCCTCATCTAGTCGAAAAATTGTTTCACCAGCTGTCAGAATGTCCCATGGTGGGGAGGACTTTATAGGGTAAGCCATGTGTATACCAGGGGTTCTCAAATGTTTAGATAGTTGTACAACTTAAATAAACTGGTAAGAATTAATGTACCACTATTTGCATATTTCAAATTTCTATATTCTAGTATAGACATTTGGACAAACAAATATTTTCATTTTTATTTTTCAAATTTAGGTTAAAACCTCCAACACCACCAAGGTTGTCGCCCATGTATCGTTCTCACAGCGCAGACAACTTTCATGACCCAGGAATGCATATTAAGGCCCCTACTCCACCAGGGTCAGCATGTGGTCACCGCGCTGCTGGCCAGGAGCTTTGTTACCTTTGTCATCAACGTGCCAGGATGAATGTGCCTGTGTCTTTCACGGAGGAAAGAAAAAAGAGGGAGGCCGAGGAGGAACGTCTACTGCAACAATACCAAACAATGAAGGATGCAGAAGAGACTTTAAAAGATCAAGTATTATAATGTTTTGATTTAAAAATTATAATAATTGGCTTGCATTTATGAATAATTTCTAATTAATTGATTTCTGCAATATTTAGTTAAATACAGATAGTAATGTTAACCCAAATCAATAGCAAAGTACCCACTATGAGACCAAGGGAAAACGTTCCATTGGATATATTTATTTATTTACTTATTTAGTCATTTTTATATAGCGCTTACCTTAAGCTCTAAGCGCTTTACAATTATTAAAAACATGTAAACTAAGTAAAATGAAAATGAGACACTAGGATAGTAACTACTATACTATAGAAACAATTAAAATGGCTATAAAACGAGGACATAGGTATCCTCAATAACTATATCATATAACTGAAAAGTTAACATATTCTTATTTTTCTTGTAAAATCAGATATTTCTGGAGTACATATCAGATTCTTGAGTTTTAATTTTTTGTGTGTGCTGCATGTTAAATTATATACTTCATAATTTTAACCCTGTACCAAGTGTTACTTTTTATAATAATTAAAACAATTAGGTTGATTTAGTCTAAAAATAACCAAATTTTTTAATAATAAAGACTAAAAAATTTAACAATAGGCCTAGGATTTCATTAAATAATATATGTTTTTTCCAGGAACGTCATATGGTAAGGAGATATGATCTACAAAAAATTTCAGCCTTTAATTTAGGTGTTGCTGATGCAGTCCAAGCAAAGATGAAGGCCAAGGATCCTGAGCCTCAGGTAAAACAATAATATTTTCGGAAAAAGCCTTTTAACAAATTTATTTTAAGATACATAAAGCTCAGGCATTTTGCACAAGGGATATAAGCAGCATGATAAGTACTCTTTAAAAAACACCAAAAGTTCTTGTGTTAAAAAACATGTTCTAATGCAGTTTGCATAGCCCCCAAGCTGCTAATAAAATGCATTGCTTCAATTTATCTATAAAAACAAGATAAAAAACAAACAACAAATTAATTAATTTAACTGGTTGACTACCACAAGCCACTGGTAGGTGCCAGCCTTTCCTTCTATCATGGCCATGAGTCACTGTGAGTGCCATGGTGTGTTGCATAGTAAATCTAGAGATATAATCATATTCTTATTTTCAATTTTACCCGCGATTTTAATTTACCAACAGGAAGATAGTTAAAAAATCACATGGACATTTAGAATGTAAATAAAAAATGTATTTTGTCACATTTATCATATTTTGAGGGTATTAAGCAAGTATTTTTCATGGCAACCAGCAATATGGTTAAAAAGCCAACATACTGTAAATAAGTTAGAGATTTGTTTATTCAGTTGCTGTATTTATATAAATTTGGAAACCTTGTCTGATTTGGTAGGTATAGTGATTACATAAATTATTAGAAGTGCATTTAGTAAAAAGTAATCACATATTTTGGAAATTCAAAACTTGAAGGTAAGTTGGAAAATTTTAATAATTAACCTTGGGCAGACTTTGAAGGGATTACCGCGGTGTAGCAAATGTTCTTATCAGCTTGATATCTGATACCTGGCTAAATGAGTCACTATGATATTAAACTGATTTTTGGAACTAGGTAAGATGCCCAGGGCCTGCTCCACTCGTACCGCGGGTTGGACAGAAATTGAAGTTCTTTCAGGAATGGCTCAATAAAGAGATAAGGACATGATCTGTAAAAACTATGAGTTCACTGGGTAAAGTTGAAACACTGTAAAGGGCAACTGTGTGAAAAGCACAAAAGTATTTAAATTTATTATTTGGGGCTGTGTGAAAGCTCCTTTGAACATACAAATTAATGTTGAAAATGATCTACAGGATAGTAAGTTGGCACATTTTTATAATTTTTGAATGCACTTACACTTGAAATAATAATTTAATAATATTATTAACAAAAATGTGTTTTATATTTATCTTAAAGTATATTCATTTATCTACAAAATGGCATATTACTTAACATTTTAATAATTGAGAAATGACAACTGAATTTGTACATAGACCTGCATGTGGGAAAATGTTACCTACATGTAATTCAGCCACACACATTTTTTTAATGTGATATCTTATCAGTTTTATAATACTACTTAAAATGGTTTTTTTTGGTGATATTACTAGTAGGACTTGTTAATTATACCTTGTAGATAAATAAAGTTCATTTAAAAATTATTATCATGAATTCAAAATTACCATGTTCTTATAGTATTGAGACTATTATAACAATAAAAGTACAAAATGAAAAAAAATGAGACTGATTTTATCAGATTGAAATTTACTTTTTTGTTGAAATAATTTTTACTTCATATCTTTCAGCGGGCCTATTTGTTTAACAGAAGGCCATTAACTCCAGCCCGTGTGCTTAAACAAGAGGAATATCTTAGGGAGCTTGACAAACAGGTAATGAATAGTATGCTTAACATCATATTATTAAAATATAGTAAATCAATTTAATATAACAGGTGAAATAAGAGTGTAAGACTGTATGGCAATAAAATTGTGTAAAATATTGGTAGCTGTATAGGTTATCTGTGCCAAAATACTAAGGTGCCACAGAAATATACTCATGTGGATAATCCCGGATAATCCATCTTTTGTCTAGTATAAAATTTAGCATTAAAACAAATTTGGATGATAAATTTATTTCAATAATTATAGCCCAGAATGAATCTTTAAAGTTTCTCTATGTTTTATAGGTGGAGTCCAAACAGAAAGCTGAGCAGAAGAAAAAAGCAGACGATGAATTTTTAGAGCGATTAGAGCAAGTGCAACTAGCAGAGGAGTGAGTTTTATTCAGTCATGGTTTTAAGATTTATATCTCTCAATTTCAACACATAGTTACCACTTATGAATTCTTTTTTAAATCTTGAGTATCCATAGCTATAATTTCTAATTTTTTTTTAAAAAGAGGCTCAGTTTTGGATATAAATATCAACTGGGTTTTTTTTTTTCTTTAAATATTATTTTAAAATTTGGCAGTAGATTAAGAATAAGGAATATTAAGTTTGAAAATTGAGAAATTACACAATTTCAATTGTTCCCAAAGCTGATGATAAGAAAAATTAAATTTTGTTTCATCATCTTCCACTATGGTTTCTTTCAGCCTGGCTGCTCAAAGAGAGCAATACCTCAGAGATAAAGCAGATTCAACTGAGACCTATAAGAAAGCTCTGGAAGCTCAGGTATCAATCAATGGAAAATTTTACTCAGAAAGTTTACAAAGACAGGTGTATGTTCTTTTCACCTGAAAATCTTTTGATCACATCTCTGCTCTTTATGCGGTATTGAAATGAATGCAGTTTTTTTTATTTCTAAACTTAAATGCTATTAATAGTGCCATGTTCTAAAATTAAACAAATTTTAAAAGAATTTTTGCTGATGAAAAGATAGCTGATTTTTTTGGTAAATTTTGTTCCCACTAAAATTAGCTGAAATTCAAACCCATGCAAATGCCAGAGAAAGAACAAGATAATGAAGTCTTTGGAAAGAATGACATGAATAATGACAAAATGGCAGAAAGACGTCGCCGGGCTTACAATATATCACAGGAGCAGAAAGCATTAATTGAGCAGAAAAAGAGGGATGCCATTCTTGCCAAATTGGCTGAACAGCAGACAGAAGAAGAAGTTTTGGCTAGGGCTAGGGATGAGTAAGTTTTGTTATACTTCTTTAATGATAGATTGTTTACAAAAACTATTGGGCCTGTACTAACTAACATACATATTCTGGTAGGGCTTGAGCTACCTGCTCCATATGTTGGGCAGTGCCATTAACATTGTCTAAACAGGGGCCTGTACTATACATACTCCTTATGGGCTAAACTCTTTGTCTCAGATCAATGCTCCCATCATCGATTTAAAATGACGTTTTTATTGGATTGACAATGCCATCGCTGTTTGTTTTGTTCCTTTTCCTAGCTATTTGCTTTAAATTACTTTTAGTAAAATCTAGAATGATTTCCCTTTGCTAAACTTCTGACATTTTCTTTCTTTGAATCTGTTTTTAATGAAGTGTTTAAAGCAGTTGTTTTAACTATTTTTACTTTTAAATTTAAAAACATAATCTCGACCTGGCCCATCTGGCGATCGATCTAATTAGGTAGAAAATATTACACTGATGAACAAGTAAGGGGTATTATTTTTTATGACAATTCATATAGTGATTTAACGATTTCCGATGCAGAGGCTGATTCTGATGAATCATACAATCCTAGTAGTAGTAATAGTACATGTGATGAAAGTGAAAATGAAATTGATAATTCAGCAGCTGATGAACAACCAGACCCGCCCCCAGCTAAAGTGCCTTCTAGATGAGCTAACACTCTTCCTGCTATAAATAATGTAGATTCTAATTAGAAAGCTGCTGATCTTGGCACTAAAACTGAGTGCTATTTAAGATTTTTACCTTAAAACAATAATAAATGTTAGTACATATAAGGATACAGGGCAAATACGTTCTAGCAGCAACAAATTGTTTCCAGTGGAAATAGTTTTTTCTGACTTTATTTTGTCACTGTGACAATGGATAATGTGCTGTGGTTTTTCATTTTGTGTTTTTTCAATGTGATGTTTATTCTTTAAGTGATGCACATATGCGTATAATTTGGAAAAAAAACGTTTTTGTTACACTTTAGATTATAAATTTCTCTTTTAAAATCTTGAAATGAGCATTTTGCGAACGTTTGGTGACTTTTTTATTTACAATTTTTATTTTCTATAAACCAAAATCACATTGATATTTTAAAATTTAAAGATAAGTCTGTATTGTCTGTAAAGAAAATGCATTCCCCTTTAAATCCATACCAAACTTAACATTTTATAATGAAATCCAAAAAGGGTATGAATGAGGAAAATAATTCAGGAGACAAAGAGTTATATTAGTTTTAAACCACTCATCCAATCAAAGTAAATAAAAGCATCTTGAATGTTGTTGTTTTTTAAGTCCTCCTTTAGCCATTGACAACCATTGGTCTTTATTTAACAAATGTTATTTAAAAAATTTATAACATTAAGCAGTAGGTATACACAGAATATTAATATAAAATATCCCCATAAATTTTCATTTCTTTGCTTTTAAATTTGGTCACAGGTTGACAAGTGATCCCACTGCAACATAGGAAAGATTTATATAAACTTTTAGATCCCTTCTTTTATTTAATCTTAGTTTTTATTTTGATACTGGTTATGAAAAAAATGTTTTTTTATCAATCAGTTTGAAAGATGAGAGGGCATTCAAGCACATGATACGGTTTGACACAAGGAAATGCCTGGAACACGACTGGCAAAAACTTGCAGAGAGCAAAAAAGCTCGTGAGCTGGATGAACGTCTACAATCTCTTAATCCTGGCATTTTGTTACATGAGCAGTGTGACCGCTACAACCGCTGCAAACAATGCAAGCGTAAACTGATAAACTGCGGTGAGACCAACATTTGGAGTGAGTCTAGATATGTGCCCGGGTCAAGGATCATGGTGTAGCATCACACAAAAGATAATGAAAGCAACTTAAAGCTTTTTTAATCTATCATAATAGAATCTGAAATTGGTCTCATTTGTGCTGTAACAACAACTAGAATTTACGTCAAATTCAAATTGATAATCAAATATAAGGTGCACACTTAAGCAGAAAAGTCTATTTTATGTCAACTTTTTTATCTGTGTGAATTAACATAAAGCTTGATCAATTAGTGTTTTTACTGTGCTGTTTCATTAGGTAAATGTAGATTTTCATTTATTTATTTTCTGAATGAGTGTGTGAAACCATAATTTATTTAAATCTTTAGCAATAACAAATGAGTTAATGTCAGTTGTGCATTACAGTTGTTTGTAAATACTATAGATGTGTAGATATTGTTTTTAATTTGTGAAGGCATGAAGATTGTCATCAACAGTTTCTGTAATATCATAAGTTCATATTTGCATTGATTGAAATTTAAAGTTGTTTTAGTATAACTATTTGGATGTCATATTTAATCTTTGACTTTTATGCAAATTTCTTGGGGCTTCTCTGTGATAAAATCAGTATTATGTATTTACCTACACCTTTTACTTTATATTTGTCATTGTTAACAGTTTTTAATTATAATTTAAAACATAATGGTTGTCCCCTAACACTTTTAATATATTTATTTTAAAAATTATTTTAAATCTTTAATGCAATTTTCTTAAATGGAATCACCATCCAAGCATTAATGGATTTTTGAAGGAGAAATTTAAAAAAAAATATATTGCACTAAATGTTTTGTTATTTGTTGATACGTATAAGTCAAATCTTTGTACAACAATCATTAACTGCTGAATACCTTGAGCATTATACCTGCATACCTTATAAATCCTCACTTGATGTCAAAAATAACTTGGCTTCTCTCATCATTATATTAAATTTAGCTCAATTTAAATTGTCAACAAATTAGGCTTTTACAGGAAAGACAAGAAAATTGTTAAATCATAGCACTGTTATAGGCTGTTTAAATTTTTTATGTTGAAGATATGAAAATTTAATTGAACTACAGTGTAATCTGACTGTAAAGCTGTGTATTAATAATTAATTGTTATATTAATTTTACAAGAAACTTATTGAAAAAAACTTATATAAAACAAGCAACAGAGAAGAAATTTAAAACCTGTGTCCATATTTGTAAAATTTAGCATCTTATTTCCATGTTTGTAAAATTAGCATCTTGCGATTCATGCTGTCTAGACTTGGACTTTTCCAGTTTATGAAATTACTTAATTTGAAAATAAGGTTAACTGTTACAAAGTGATTTTGGTCCTTTCAGGTTTTACATTTGAATAATTGAATAGTTAGAAGTTATTTAAAGTATTGGGACACAATCTATACACCCTTTAAAGCTGTAATGATAGGTTGCAATAGCAAATTATCTAAGCACATTTGACAAAAATCACTTTAAAACCATTTAACGCATCAAATTAGTGAGGCATGTTTTCAAATTCAACAAATTTGTGGTAAGTACAAAAAGGCAACTACAAAAAATTTAGCTATTGAAAATGTTTTTATTTCTTAGAGACTGTTTTTAACATGTGGGTATTTGAACTAAGAAAATTGACATTTATGCACAATTGTTTCAATGTTTAGATAGTTTGCAAAAAGAATACCATATATTTAATCATAAAAATGGAAATGTAACTTTATTAGTAACCAAATTAAATTTGTTCAAAAATGTTTTTCATCTCAGCACATCTGTTTCTATTTTAAAAAATCATCACTTCTATTTGCTAAAAAAAAATTCAATAAATTGTAGAGAAATAAACATAATATAGAGTGTTGTTTTAATGTCAGCCATTTTTTTAGCTTATGCATTTTTATGTGTTAGTTAATGTTATGTTTATTTTATTTATACCACTGGAAACCAGTAGTAAAAACTGTAATTATACAATGTTTACTTAATCTCTGTAATGGCAGGTAATGTTTAGGAACATATTCCTCAAACTTAAAAGAAATTATTTTAGAATATTTCAACATCTAGTTTGCTAAGCTTTTATAATGTTAACAACTCCTTCTTGCAAACCATTAGGTTGACATCACAGGTTCACTCTCTCTATTTTTTTTTTTTACAATGTTTTTACAATGTTAGTTGTAATGTTTGGGTCATTTAGACAAAACAAGATGGGACGATGACAAATTTGAGGGGAAAAAAGGTTGAGAAATGAACTAACAAAATAATAAGAAAGACTTAAGTGTTTATTAGCAAATTGATCAGACATGTGTGTTTACCTTTGGAAGCAAAAGCTTCTCTCTCTTCATTGACTTAATACAGTGGAACCTCTTATAACTAGCACCTCTCATAACGAGTAACTGGCATAACGAGCACAAAAAAATGTGAAGAAGTTGCTCCCTTAACAAGCGACATTTCGCATAAGAGTAACAATCTTCTAGCGCAATAAGAGAAATGCTGAAAGCATGGGAAACGGTTGCATCGTACATTGAGAAGCATCACCCTAATAAGGAGGTGGCTATTCGTGCTACAAATTTATTCAATGATAATGCTGTGTCACATTTTCGTCAAATTTTGAAGCGTCGGCAAGAACAAATTATGTCTTTAGACAGTTTTCTAGTTAAAAAGGATTAATTATTTGTCATAAATTCATATTTTTATTTACGGTTTTTGTTTCAAATCTAAATTGTATTCCAAGTTGTTACACTCCTTAACAATTCATGAGTAATTTTATTTCATTGAATGTTAATACAAATTTTTGAAAAATTAGTATTTTTTCAGCATGGAACGCATTATCGTATTTTACATATTTTTATGGGAAAAATTGTTTCGTTTAACGAGTGTTTGGTTTAACGAGTAAGAGTCTAGAACGAATTAAACTCTTAAACTCGTTATGAGAGGTGTTACCTTCATTTTCATTGAACATTTTCAAATGACTTTATTCAAGTCTATTATGACAGCTTGTTAGAATTGGCTAGATAACAAAAATTACATTTTCAAATAAACACTTCCAACAAGAAATGTCAAAAATAAAATTAAGGAAAAAAACAAAAGGGAAGAGATTCAAATGTTAAAAATTTTATCTTCGATGATGGTCTTGCAGTTTACAAGTAACTATTATATTAAAATGTTTGTGAGCATTGCGCCAATATTTAAATTTTACACAGCAGTAATATCAATTTATTTTTCATCAACTATATTATATTAGAAATGGCTGGAAGACTTTGACAGTTTAAAACAAATACTGAAGTAGAAAAAAAAATGTTTAGGTATGAATTACATCAATTTAAAAAAAAAGACATACAAAGGTAAAAGTTGTCCAGAGCTCAACACTAACCCAAGTTGTGAGAAACAGGAATTGTGGGTGACGTGAATAGTGAAGGTTATCTGTCCCATCTATTCCCTATTGGCACTTGGACTAAAGTTAAATTTGAGTACAAAAGTACAACCAGTACAATAGAAAGTGTTACAGTAACAGGCCGCCATCAAATTTTTTTTAAAGCTTAAGATTTTCTTTAAACAGAAATCTTAAAAAAAAATTAAAAAAATGCATATCTTTAACATTATAATCTAGGCAAAGTGGTTCCTTGACCAGAAGGGGAGGTGGAGGGTGGGTGTCCCCATAAGAATGTAAAGTGAAAACATATAAAAACAAAAAAGGATTTTAGAGATTAAGAAAGGCTTTTATAATTTATGGTAAACCACCAACCCAAGATTACAACCATAACCCGCATTAATTGGAAAAGTTAGCATGACAGAGCTGCAGAATGGCAACTTAAAAACATGAACTCACAAAGCCAGTGGGCTAATTTGCTGATGGTGCAACTGCCAAATTAGGCTGTTCAAAAGCATGGTTTTGAAAAGGTGATAGAGTAATGGAATTTTTAATGGGTGGCATGTTAAACCTTTAATCCCACCTTGAAGATGCCCCCCACTACAACCCCCCCCCCCCCCCCCCCCCNCCCCCCCCCCCCCGCTAAAAATCACTCCACTGGCAATTTAAAATTCATCAGACAAGATAAAAACATTGAATTGTGTTTCAAAAATATTTCCATAAATTATTTTAGCAGCAAAAACATCTTATAGGTAGGCCATAAAATCGGTTTACATATGTGGGATTCACTCACTGACCATTTCCCCCTCCCCTCCCCCTAGACTGTATGAGGTTGCTCAGTAAGATACAAAATTACATGTAACAGTTACCGAGGCTGATCCACCAGTCCAGACAGAATCAACAGAGAAGGTGTCTGTGATCTTTAATTATGTTACTCTATTACTAACATTTACAGATAACTACAGAGCTGAAAAATGATATGCAAAAATGACTTGTTGCTGCTCTCATGTCTACAAAACTTCATTTAGTATGTCATAACACATATTTAAATTTAATTTTGTTTACAGGTTTTATGGCCAAATAGCTATTATTTATCATTATGCTATAAAACACCATAAGTATAGAATATGGAACACAAATAGTATAGAATATGGAAACAATGCTTGAGCTACTCCATAAAATAGAAATAATCGCTTAATAGTTCACATCATGGGTCATAGAATAAAAATGCTCATCTGAGGTATCATGATGATGAATACTTGTCAATAAATGTAAAGCTCAGTGCAGAAATGGTTCGTGGCAATCAACATTGGGTAATCAACAATCATACGGTATAAGTAGGAAAAAAATTAAGTTATGGCTGGGTGATAGCGTGATTAACATATTTGTGTCTTGTGTGTTCAGTCAGTACAGAGGGAGTTTTTAACCACATATATAGCTCCCATTTAAAATTAATTATCTAATTTAATTAATGGTCGGATTAATATAAATATCCAAATACTACAGGTATTACTGGTCTTAAAACATTTAAAGAAAACTTTTTAACACAGTTTTAACAAAAATGTTAACAGTTTTTACAATAATTAATTTGAGAAGGATTCTCTAGATGTTAAAAATGTTTGCTCACTGAAGGCTTCGACTGATTCAACGTATTCACGATATGGAAAAGTTGGGGACCAGCAAGAAGTAAACAACAGTTATAAATTAAAGACCTTTTTTCGCCGTATAAATACAATAAGAAAATTAACAGTGTCTAAAAAAAAAATCATTTGTGCAAAATAATAAATTTATGATCAAAACACTGAATGGTATTACAGGGGTTAGCCAACCAAGGTAAATCACCCCAAGCGTACTGTGTCCCCCCCCCCCCCGCCCCCCTCCATGCTTTTGTACACAAAAAAAAAAATCATTTGTGCAAAAAAATAAATTTATGATCAAAACACTGAATGGTATTACAGGGGTTAGCCAACCAAGGTAAATCACCCCAAGCGTACTGTGTCCCCCCCCCCCCCGCCCCCCTCCATGCTTTTGTACACATCATTTTAACAAGGTCACCTATTGTTTTACCAGGTCCCCAAAGGCTTTGACCGTCAAGGTAAAAATGGTGTCTTTTTAGCAAGGATTTTTTATATTAATAAATTAAATGTATACATTCATTATTTGATAATAAGTTGAAACATGTTTTCACTACGTTGATGCAAAATTATTTATGGGCAGTGAGAGCTGTACGATTTTGTCACACTAAATCGGTAACTTAATCCTATAACTTCGTAACTTTGTGATTAGGTACATGTACAATACAAGAATAAATAGATTTAATTAACAATATAAGTTTAAATAGTCAATGATTTTCTCCTTTTCAACTTGATGGGATAACGTCAGCATAAACAATTACCCTATTTGCAAGTGCATAGGATGCATAAGACACAAACACACCCCATTTTTTTTACACATTTTTTTGAGGGGAAAAATATTTCTACATTCCCAGCGCATGACTCACCCACATTTTAGGAATATTTTGAGGGGGAAAAGAGTATGTCCTATACACCAGCAAATATTGAAAATAGCTAAAAAAAAGTTGCCCACCTCCTTGTTCTAATAAGTTAATGACATGTCATTGAAACCTCAAAAAATATGAATTGTATAATTGTCATCAGTAAACACAGCACAATAATTTATTTAAATTTGCATAGTAATAAAATGCTATGGGGCCATTAGTATAGTGTATGCTATCAGACCCATTGATATAGTGTAATGCAATCAGGGCCATTGATATAGTGTAATGCTATCAGGACCATTGATATAGTGTAATGCTATCAGGCCCATTGATATAGTGTAATGCAATCAGGCCCATTGATAAATTGTAATCTTATCAGGCCCATTGATATAGTGTAATGCAATCAGGGCCATTGATATAGTGTAATGCAATCAGGAACATTGATATAGTGTAATGCAATCAGGGCCATTGATATAGTGTAATGCAATCAGGGCCATTGATATAGTGTAATGCTATCAGGGTCATTGATATAGTTATGCTATCAGGCCCATTGATATAGTGTATGCTATCAGGGTCATTGATATAGTTTAATGCAATCAGGGCCATTGATATAGTGTATGCTATCAGGGCCATTGATATAGTGTATGCTATCAGGGCCATTGATAATAGTGTAATGCAATCAGGCCCATTGATAAATTGTAATGTTATCAGGCCCATTGATATAGTGTATGCTATCAGGGCCATAAAAATAGTGTATAAATAAGATTGGTGGCTTGAAAATAACAAAGCATGATCTAAGTCTCAAATAAAACAAGCTAGTCCCAAATTTACACAACTAGTGAAATAAGTATAAGTACACAACTAGAGACGTGTACTCATCTAGAGATATACATGTAAACATCAGGGCTACACCAATAAGCAAGGAGGCAGATTAAAAAATAATCAGTTTACTACATCGGCCAATACCAATTTATCACCATGGACTATTTATTGTACACACTGTGCTTTGTAAAAGCCTAATGTTGTCTTGAATAGTTGGCAATTTGTATATATATTTAGTTCTTCATTATTTTCATAGAGCTATCACTTAGGCAGCCGGTAATAAAACTTAAGGTTTATAATTTATAAGTGATTCAAGACACAGAAGTTACCATCCTTCTGATATCTTGGTCCTTTAAACCCCCCCCCCCCCCCCAGAAATTTATCCTCTAATGGCCACCACCAAGAAATTCAAACCCAGATCAACACAGTCTTCACAATTTGAAATGATGTGCAATCTCAATTAAGCGTCATCATTACATAAGTGCTGATGATACAGTTAACAGAATGATAATAAATTTAACCATTGGAAAAAACAAGTTTATGACAGAGACTTGCACCAATAATAACAAATGTAAAAATAAGCACATCTATCCAAAGTATCCATGCCAGGGTTGTTACTAAAACTTTGTTTTCTTCTTTTTACTTGTGGCCCACTTTAGCATATTTTTTACTTCCATGGTCCCCTTCCATTAAAATACCCACTAATTAAAAAAAATGTTTTAAGTGCCAAGCACCACCTTAAACCTGCACTTAGTGTTCGATGCAAACTGAACCCCAACCCGAAGGGGGGGGCGTGATAAGTCAAAACTCTCGGTGATACATTTTTATGATTGAATCTTAAGTGTGTGGAGCTTATAACAAAAATTCATTCATAACTTGACTAGCAAAGATGCGCTGACAACATAACGGCGCACTTACATCAACAAGGCATGTTTACAACAGATCCTCCATTCTCCATTTGGAAAACTAGATCAGATAAAACCATGACCAATCTAAATCTAAAAATTCTAAATAACAACAATGCATTAAAGGCTATACCGTGTAGAAAGGGGCTAGACCTATACTAAAACTATTGAATCATTGAATTGGCTAGACTTTTACTAAAACTATTGAATCATTGAATTGGCTAGACTTTCACTAAAGCTATTGAATCATTGAATTGGCTAGACTTTTACTAAAACTATTGAATCATTGAATTGGCTAGACTTTTACTAAAGCTATTGAATCATTGAATTGGCTAGACTTTTACTAAAACTATTGAATCATTGAATTGGCTAGACTTTTACTAAAGCTATTGAATCATTCAATTGGCTAGACTTACATTAAAACTATTGAATCATTGTCTGAATTGGCTAGACCTCCATTAAAACTATTGAATTATTGTCTGTGAAAGATATATGGATTTGCATTCTTCAACTGCAGACCGCAGATCAATGACATCCCTGTATCCTGCAGAGTCAGAAAGATCATGCTGCAGCCATGATATCAGGGAACTGAGGACCGAAGGATTCCCCAATTCTGAAGCAAAAAACCAGGGTCTGATTAAAATAGTGTGAAGTGGGCACCAGGTGAGGAAGACTCCATTTTTCTTTGATGCGGTTATGTTCCTTGCAAGTTCTCGGATTCTGTCCCTTGCTGCATAGACAGTGTTTAGGTTTTTGTGAGGACAGTCAGTGGCTAAACATGGTATTTTAAAAATGTGAGAGCGCTGCCAACTGTCGTAGATTGAGTTCATGAAAAATGCAGGGGTGAACACAAATTTGTTGTACACTTCAGGAAGTAAACATCTCCATTCATCAGTTTGGTTTTGAGTTTGTGTACATTCTTGAATACTGGCAGAAGCTGAGGAGAAGCAGATTGTTGAGAGATCCTGTTCATCCATGAATTTGATATTTTAATACAAGCTAGACAGAGGGGTTGGAAGTGATAAGCTAAGTTTTATATAAGCTATGCACAATTATTAAAACTGATAACGAAGTTGAATACAGACATTTCTAGATTTTGAATGTTTGATTGCGAATATTTGATGTAAACTGTAAATGTAAAAAACATCAAAATACAAAGATTCTATTAGTATCTTAGTATTTCACTATAGTATCTGGTTCTCTCTTTGAATTTTTTCAACTTTAATTTAAGTTCATAGTGTATTGTTGGAATAAAACTTACATCTTAAATATTTAATACAATGACAGCTAACAGATAGGATTGCATCGTATTACTAATGGTACATATTTAGGTGTTTTTGATGTGTAATGACTAAAAACATGGTATACTGAACGACTTCTAGAATCTCGTTCATCAATTAAGAATTACCTATGCCAGCTAGACACAGTGGTTGAAAGTGAAGAGCTAAAATTAAAGCTAGCTGTGCGCAATGGTTGCAACAAGTCTATTTCTTTGGGCCTTAGGTGGAAACAAATATAAGATAAATACAAGAAAATGATTGGCTCATTAAAACCAATTCATCATTTACTGTATTTGAAGCTTTACACAGCTTTTCTACTGAAAAATATATTACCAGAATTGTGAAAAGGGGAAAAAGTCAAATTCAAATTCTGTTTGAGAAACATGCATTATTTTGACTCTCTTCTACATCTGGTTTAGATTTTGAAAATAAAAAGATTATCAGCACATTTTACATTTTATTCAAAGGATCTCTGAATGTCAACAATATATCAATCTGTCTATGCATCCCTCAAGTAGCATTACTAACCTTTGATGGAGTGGAACTGGTAGACCGACTTAAACAACTGGGCTAGACTCAGTTGCCCATAAACATCTGGTGTGTTGACAAACATGGCAGCATCCACAAGCACATGCAGAGTCCTCACACTCTGGGGCAGCTTGGTTCTGAGGTGATCAGCATGGATCAAAGCACCAATGCCTCCAGCTGTCAAGGCACGAATTTTGAAAACAAACATCAAAATATGATCAATTTAAAAAACAATTTGGCTTTGTACATGTACTTTTAAAATATATGCATTGTACAAAAAAATAAATTGTAAATAAAATACTAAAATAAAATATTATCAAAAATAATTTCAAATTGAGCTAAGTTTGTGTTTAGTAGTCAAGCATCACTTGATATTTATATTTATAATTAGGTCATTTGCTTGAATTAGAACCACAGGAAAGTATTTTTTGTGTCAAATGGACATACATCAGGTAACTATTTTAATTTTTTTTTTTTTTTAAATTTAAGAGGATTTCATGAATAAAATATTTAACAAACGATTTAATGTACATTTAAAGTTTTATTTAAAATAATACTTATTACAGAATTTAAATTTTTTTAAGTAACATTTTCTTGCTGTTACAGAATAATTATGAACTTTCTTAAAATTGTCTGGAAACAAGCCCATTGCTCTTGTTATTTATCTTTTAAGTTTTTTTGTTTCAAATGGACATACATCAGGTAACTATTTAAATTTTTTTTTAAATTTAAGAGGGTTTCATGAATAAAATATTTAATAAACGATTTAATGTACATTTAAAGATTTATTTAAATATTTAAGTCATAAAATGAATCTTTAAGATTTTCAAATGTTTAAATACCAGAAGTGCCTGCCAGTACAATCTGCTCAGCATCCCCAAGTTCTGTGGCCTCCTTGAGATACTCTATCAAAGTTTCAAAAATGACAGCCCCCCTCAAGTACAGGGGCTGGGACTCATAGTTGCGGACACGTGATTCATTGCCTGGAAAGAGTGGGGGACAACCTAATTAGTCCAATAATTGATACGTTTGTTTCCAACATTGAGAAATGCTTGATAACTAACTACCTGTCCTGTATAAGCCTAGGCTAAATACATGATTAGGATATTTTAATTTAATTAAATGTAGGATTGAGATTTTTAAAGTAACTTTTTCTTGGTGCTATAAAATAATTATGAAATTTCTTAAAATTGCCAGGAAACAAGACCTTTATTCTTATTCTTTGTCTTTTAAACATTTAGTGAAACATGTGGCAATTGAGAGAGGTTTTCAAACTCTTTTTATTTTTCCAGCTCCTTCCTCCAAGTTTCATTGTAACCCCTTTTTTTCTAAAACTTTGGCAGTTCAATGCCTGGAAAGTTTGGCATCGCAGTCTTGTCTTTCTTGTGACTCTCAGCAGGAACCATCAGTTCATATAATGCACAATATCTTGCCCAAGCCGACATTGGGCTTTTTGTTTTGTTCTATACACGAACTTACATTTGTTCTGTTCTCAGTTCTCTAAAAAGCTATACAAGAAAATACATTGTTTTCTTCTGAGGACTGAGCTCTTTCTTCATCAATGTTCAGCCCAAGATTATTTTCAGAAAAAAAGTTACCCTCCCTAAGGTCACATTGTAATAAATTTTTTAAAGTTTTTAAGAGCAGTCATATGTTATTACAAAGTTAAATCAAATGTATTTTTAAACATGTTCCCTTTTTAAAAAAACAACTATACAATTTGGTTGAAGAAAAAAATTACCTAGAAAAGAGGAACCATCACAGTAATGTAATACAATTACATTCCAGTAACAAAAGTCAGGGTTAGTGACACAGCTGTTAGAGAGTATTCCATCCAAAGGTATTGAAGTTTTGGCTATATGAGAGGAGCCAAGATCTGTGAGACTCCTGGTAGCAGTGGAAATAGTATTATTATTGTAAGGTAGCTTCTGTGTTAAATGGATAAGCATGTTGAAAAATGTTTTGCCTGCACTTATATATTACATGTTATTTTCTAAGTTCATAAATTTCTCTTAACTTATATTAATATTAAGGAAATTAAATGAAATGACCACCAACGAAATTTGTTACTTAAACCTATAACAGTTTATCAAATCATTTAAGTAATATGAAAATGATAGTTATTCATCACAGTGCTAATAAGCCATGTATTTCATTCTTTATTGCCAGACTGACAATTATGTTCAGCTTGTAATAGCCCTTTTATCGCCCTACCTTTGAAAACAATCGTATATTGACGAACACCATCCCCCACCAGGCAGATATATGATCCAGAATTTCACAGACAAAGAAGGGCCTATATGAAGTGTGTAAATAATTAATTCATTTTTTTTCCTGCAGTATAAATTTTACTCCATCAGCATGCAGCTATAATTTAAAGCCTTTATTTATAGAATAATTAAGAAAATGACTAAATATCATCTTTTTCTAGCTTCATATATATACCATTGAAAAAAATGGCATCATTTAAGTGATCACACATTCCAAATTGCTCTGACTCTGTGAGTATTAGACTTACTGGCAGTATGTTCTTGATTAGTTTTTAAAAAAAGGTTTCGGTTCACACTGTGCATTGAGGAGAAACGAAATGTTTATAGCTCCAAATTACGTTTGAAGTAACTTAAAGAAAACTCTGTTTATTAAAAGTTTAGTCTGCTCACATTGGTAACACAAAATTTAAAACAAATAATAAATTTGAATTAGTGAGTGATTAGTAATATTAGGTCATTATCAGACATTGACTTACTTGGTCTGAAGTAGTATGCTGGTGGCGATCCATCAAGGCAAAACGCTCCCCTGGAATTAGCATAGACAGATGGAAGTGTGACAAGCTCTGCGTCTGGATCGCTCTCCAGATGATAATGAACAAAATTGACCTTGACCTGCGACATAAGCCTGATAAGTGCCAGCATACAGATGATTACCATCAGCAGGGCCAGGTGAACATACAGGCGCCTTGAGCATAGCAAAGGAGGTACAAGCTGCGGTCGACTGAATCTTACAGGCACAAATACCATGACTGGTGGGGACGCAGGTGGCTCCCCGGTAGACTCAATGGAAGAAATCAGCTGGTTTTGTTTTGACATTAACTTGATTTTTCTCCACAAATTCTATTACTTAGAATTCACATTTTATTGCTTTAGCTGAAAAGGGATTCTTCCTCATTTCTTGTGTCTGTAGAGTGATAACAGGTTTCCATAAATGACATACATTGTCATTAAAACTTAAAAATTAAGTATGCAATGAAGATTTATAGCAACACAATTCTCATTAATTCATCATCACAGAAAATTGAACACCCTCTACAGTAGTGTTGCTTAACTTTTGCATTGCACAACATGCAGTTTAAATGATAACACATTAGGATAATTGATTTGTTTTTATAATTTGGCTCTTGCACTTTGAAATTTTCTATTTTCTCTTTTTTATGCTGGTACACTTATGATGGCTGTGTGATACACATTAAGTTTACAAACAACATTTTTAAACAGTTAAAACAAAAAAAAATGAAAGTCACACTTCAGTAGTAGTGAATTCAATCATCAATTTAGTCAATTTTTTAAAGATTGTTTAGGGTCAGCTAGAGCAGCTGGTGGTCCCCAAATGGTGGTCCATGGACCGGTGCTGGTTCGCGAGCTTTGTGTTGCCGGTCTACACTACATTAGTCACATAACTATGGGAAAGGTTAAATTTTTAAAATTTTGAAACCTACCAATAAAAATACCACACAAAACACAAACCAAACCAATTTAAAAAGACATCTTTGGCATTACAAGATCATATCTAAGCTGGCAAAACCAAGCTATGTTTCTATGGAAAAAAGGTGCACCTGCAACCTAAAGGGGCACCCTAAAATATCACGACACATTTTGGAAAGCCTTTGTTAATATAATCTTATCACAAACAAAGAATGATTTGATAATCTTGCCACCAAGAGACTTTGTACAGAACTGAACAGAACTGAACAATATGCTCAGCGAAATTGTAAAAATTGTGATCTATGCCTGCTTTACATTCAAGACTATTTGCTGCATTAAAAATTAGTTATTAGTGGTATTAATAAACTATAATTAATGGGATAATAACACAATAAAAAGCAGTTGCTACTAATATTAAAAATATACTATTATCAATTATAATTCCAATAAAATATGGTTATGCATTCTGGTACACTTCTAAGTCTAAAATTAACATTTTTTCTTACATATTTTTTGAAAATTGCGTCACTGTGACTTGTTTAAAATTAGATAATATATGATTTAGTCTATAACACGTTCATAAAAATAAATAAATCATCAAAGTAATTATATTTTTAGTAGATATAGGCATAAGAAAACTGATACCATTTATATCAACAAAATTTTTAAAATATTTTTCTAATTAAATAAACCAAAAGAAGAAATACATTTTAATAAACACATCACTTGAATATTATTAGAAAGAAAGTAAAAATTGTATAGATTCAGAATTATGATTAGTTATTAATGTTAGGCTTCTTTTGGGTGCAAGAGAAAATTTTAACTTTCTGTTGCAAAACTCAGAATTCCTTCCATATCCAATAAGGCGGAACGTTTGGATGCAGATGGCGGCGACAAAGTTTATGAAGGAGAGATTTGTGAGATTCATCAACAAGACAAAGAAGTCTGTAAGGCATTCTACCCAGAAAATGACCTTTTAAAATTTAATGACATACCCCGGTATGGATATGCTTGTATTAGTTTTATGGGTGATATTAATTTTTATTTATAATCTCATGCAATTAGTTTTATTTTTAAAAAGACTTCTACTTACCTTTTATAAATATAAGAATTGATTTAAAATTTTATTGAAGAATGTAATTCATTAAAATATAAATAAACTTTTTTTTTTTTTGTCCTTTAAAAATCATGATTTCACCAATTTTTCTGTTCATGTTTTTTCTAACAAACCTTCAAATGAAATTATCCAAAATACAAAGACTTGATGTTTTTTGAAAGTTTTGTTGTGTTGTATATTGCATTGAGAATGTCTCCTGAAAATTTGGTGGCATTATCTTTTAAAATAAAAAAGGTGTGGACAAAATAAGGCAGAAATTTGGAAAGTGGGTCACACATTTTTTTTAGCTAAATACAGAGATAAAGAAGGGGGTTGTAAAAAATCACCAAAAAAATCATAACTCCACTTCTATAAAAGATAGCAAGATGACATTGGTATGTTATAAAGCTTATAGCTATAAATATATTTATAAATTATTTATTTTAAACTTCTTATAATATTCAGATGTTTAAAGATTAAGTATTTAAGAAAATAACAAATCACTGCATAATTGACAATGATGATAGTCATTTCCGGTTTCTCGATGAAAAAAAAATTATAATAATTTTGGGACATTTTCGTACCCCCACTCCACTGGGAGATGCATAACTTTTCAGGGGCAAAGTCATGATAATAACTCAAAAAAGGAAAAAACTCATACAATGAATGTAGTTCGCACTCAACTAAACTATTTTTGCCTAAAATTACGGACAAAAAAGTTTTTTTGGATGATTTATATACCTACCGAGTCATTATGATAATACTGTCCATGATACACACAAAATATAGTAGCATAAATCAATATATCACCGGAACACAAAAACTGATACGTCAGGGATGAGAAAAGCAATTATTTAATAAACAAATGTGACGTAGTATGCAATTTTCCAATGATACCGTGTAGCCGTACGCCATATTGTAGAACACGTTTTTTCGACATTTTAGGACCTGCGCAGAACGATGCGTGGACAAGTATCGTTATCCCTAGTTATATTATTAGAAAGGACTCAGTATTTCCTTTCCGGCTTTCCATTGACACCAAGTTTATTTTTCTATCTTAATTAGAAAAAAAGTTATCACATTTTTAGTGTCAGAATTTTTCCTTATATAATATATAGCTTTAGTAAAAAAATTTCCAAAATTCTGCGAAAAAATAAAGACATCTTTGACACTCAAAATGCGATAACTTTTAAGTGAGCAAAGTTAACGCTCTGACTCTGAAATTTGCAGCGCATTTCAATTAAGTAATGGGCTTTAATAATATTGTTACTCGAGTAAAAGTACTATGTAAGAATTAAAATAAGAGTAAGACTAGTAAGAGTAAAACTAGTTTAGCAGTAAACTCTAGTAGAAATTAGTTAGTAACTGGTGCTGATAAGAACTTAAACTTTAAGTTCAGTTAAGTTATGTGAGAAAACAAAATCTAATAATCTAATCTACTGAAATATTAATGATTTATTTAAAGAGAAACCTGTTTGAAAAACATAATAAATTTTCCTTTGTGATAGTGGTCTAGGTATTTTCTAACTTTTATGTCTCCTTTCTTCTTTGTCGATTTTCTTTGATGAATCTTTCATTCTTGGGTGTTTAGGCCACATAGAAGATTTGTTAGGATAAAACTAAGAGGGAGACAACTCTCAATTAAAATAAAAGGATCGGTTTATTAATACGGTTTACGTGTTGTACTTAAGTCTCATCATCACTCACACGGTGTGGCTTAACCAATGAACTTACACACACAGCAACGCTGGTCATTTGAAACTTTGGGCTCTTTGTTTGAAAAACAAAATAAAAAAAATATAAGTGGAAGTATCAAAAGCAGAAAAACATTACTGGATTATGACCTCTAGAGAATTTTTAACACTTCGTGACAGGGGGAGGGGGGTCTAAAAAGGTCATTTTTAGCGTTACGTAAATTACGAATGACAAAAATATAGCCCCCAGCACCAAAATCGAACTGATGCGCTCATTAGTCCTCTCCATGTTCCTTTATGCCTGCAAATCCTGGACATTAACAGCCGATCTTGAAAGTAAAATAAAGCCGATGGAGATGAGATGCTTCAGAAGCATTTTTCGCATCTGCTATAACGACCATATCTCCAAAGATACAGTGAAAGAAATGGTTCGCCAGGTAATTGGAGAGTACGATGACCTATTGGTGACTTTGAAAAACGCAAACTACAATGGTACGGCCACGTAACAAAGAAACAAGGGCTTACCAAAGAAATATTGCAGGGCACCACGAGAGGAGGGAGAAGAAGAGGAAGACAAAGAAAAAGATAGGAGGATAACATCAAAGAGTGGACAGGACTAACAGTGGGCGATGCTGTGCGTAGCGCAGAAGACAGACGAATGGAGGAGGATAGTTCACATGTCATCTGTGGCGCCCCAACGATCCAAGGACTAAGGGACATGATGATGAATATACGAACGACCCCCCAACACTTTTTAGTTTTACATTTTATTTGCTCCTAACGACGCCACTGTAAGCTATCGGATGGCCGTCACTAATTTCAGAATAATTAAAAATGTATGCACGGAATATTTTTATATCGTTTTTTACGGCAATATTTTTTTTTAAAGTAATGTGCCTCAAACTTATAGAAATGGTAACATTGGACGTTTTAATATGTTTTAAAAAAGGAAAATTAAAATTGATAAAATAGAAACTGCTAATTTGTTTCACGCCCTGAACTATATTAATAGGCTGCAACTATAGGTACTCGGGTACCTATAGTCGATAATAACTATTCGCACCAGGAGTGGCTCCGTACAGATTAAATGGCTTCGGAGCCGGGTGTGATAACAATAATGTTATGAGAATTTTTTTTAAAAATTGTTTTTTCTCCTTGTTATTTCATAGATTCATAGTTTTAATCTTTGTAGTTTTTTTCTTTTTTTTCTTTTTTTTTTTTTGCTTTGTTAATTCTTCTTAGGACGGGTAGATTTTTTTTTTTTTTCTTTTCTTTTTTTTTAGTTTAACTGTACGAGCCATTGAAAAAAATATAGTACATACAAACCATACACAAAAATTTTTTTTAAAAATTGTTTTTTCTCCTTGTTATTTATTAGATTTATAGTTTTAATTTTTGTAGTTTTTTTTTTTTTTTTTTTTTTTTTTTTTTGCTTTGTTAATTCTTCTTAGGACGGGTAGATTTTTTTTTTCTTTCTTATCTTCTTTTTTAGTTTAACTGTACGAGCCATTGAAAAAAATATAGTACAT